TAAATGTTATCCAGCGAAATGGAAAGAAAAAGGGAAAGAGAGAGTAAAAGATGAATGCAAGAGGAGGGAGAGCACCATCATTATCATGGCCTTTTAGGTCCCCAACCACCTGTGCAAAACAAGTGCCCAACGCAGCAGAGCACAGGATTCATACTGCACTAAATAGGAATACACAATATATAATACCACATGAACACAAATAAAACTCTCTTTGGTCAAATCAAGGATTTTTTTAAATTGTAAAACAGCTTAACATCAATATAAGTGTACTTTTGACTCTCATTGTAAGTGATGTGTTTAGAAGTGTGTGCAGCGCAGCAGTCCCAGTATGTGTGAATGGGGGTTTATGTCAAAGAAGACCCATGGGTGAAATGTGAAAACATTTGGCAGCAAAGGTGCTGACAGAAAGGTTTAGGGAGGAGGAGGCACCAGTGATTTGGTACAACACTGAAAAGAGACAAAAGGGACCCCAAACAGGCAAAACGATACACAAGCATGCATGTGAAAACCTTTTTGCACATTCAGCGTTGCTGTTAACGAGCAACCGCATCAAAAGTTTGAGACGCATGCAAGACATCGGCATTAATAAAGCCTTTCTAAAAAAATATACATATAGATGATAAAATGTGTAACAAAGTCTGTATCTGTGCAAAACAGTCAATATGATGTTTTCCGCTCAGAAATCTAGAGCTACGGTTTATGAGTCCATTTACATCCTCGTGGTGAGTTGAAACATTCATGTTCTCTGACATGCTGGATGAATACAAATGTTAAATGAAGGAGCTGTTCACGTGTGTTGTGACCAATATACCATGAGGAACTAGTGAGGTTGTCCGTGTTAATAATAACCGTCCAAAGATTTAAAAACTGATGCAGTATTTGGACACAATTTGAGGCCATAGCTTCTATCTATGTGCGTGTTAATGTGTGCGAGTCTAAACTAGATTTAGGGACAGTTAGACACAGGAGGGGTTTCCTTTGTGAACCGTGGGGCTCATCTGGTGTCTCAGGGGTTGAATGGGGGCTACAAAATGAGTGTGTGTGTGTGTGTCTATGAATAGAGAAGCAGAATAGGAGGGTTGCATTGACAAGGTGCTAAAAGGCTGTGTGAAGGCTTCTAGCTGGGGAATGAGGGATGATGAGGAAGAGGGGGGAGGGAGAAATGAAACGTCAATCAAACCACAATCGAAGAATAGAAAAGGCATGGGATCCACACTTTGTTTTCTATGTCTGCCACACACACACACTACACACAAAATCAAGCTCAAAGATACACAACATGTTGTTTTTTCTGCCTTTCGTGCCCTAACGCTTAATAAATATCTTGCAGTCAGACTAGGCCTTGTTTTGAGGGAGGAGGGGGAGGAGAAAGACCTCAGGCAGGATAGGTCATCACCAAATACCTGCAGCTCACGTCCTGGGAGCGGGCCAATGGAAAGTCTCCTCCTTTACTGACCAACGTCATTAGCTTATGATGACAGGATAGAGTGTCCACAATGAAAAATGCATTAGTATAAGGGGAGAAAACACACTTCCTTTCCTCTCTGATAATTCAACATGGGATTCTATTCAAATGACTTTTAAGAAATGGGGAAAACACACTTTACTGACTGAAGTGAAATACTGAGCTTAATGCAGCCTAACAGTGCTCAGTTAGATATTCCTTCTCAATGATTTAGCGTCCACATAATGACAAACAGATTATGAGTCATGGTGTAAACCATCTGGGTTCAGAACAACTCAACGTTTTCATGGGGGTTAGGGTAACACATTGAAATGGACTTATATTGCTATAAACTCACAGAGAGAGCAGGGTAATAAAATAACCTACTTAAGATAAAAAAACGAACCTTCGCAAATAATCGGACAAATGAAAGTCTTTTCTAAATGCCTAATGTATCAATAGAAGCTTAACTGAGACTAAATATGTTGAAATCAATCCAAATAAATCAAGTATGGGATGTTATTTGGAGAATATTGCCTCGGTATGAGGACAATTCCATGGGAAAAGGATGGGATTTTATTTGTTGAATATCATTTCGATTAAGTGTCCCCTTACTCAGTGGAGTTTTTTTTGGAGCAGATGTTATTCTGCTGTTTGTAACTCAATGACACTAAAGCCAACAAGCTAGGAAACATAGCTGTAAAGAAAGCAATTTAAAAAATATTGTATTAGTTAATTGTGTTTTTTGTGGCGTTAGGAACTGACACCTTTTGTATTGTTCCTGTTCTCCCCTTACTCCTGTTGCAAACATATTAGTAGCATTCATCTAAGAAAAAGGTTTCCTATCACTGAACGCCTTAGTGATAAAAAGTGTTATCTTTAATAGGATCAAATAATATTAGTATGAGCAAAGCATTCAATATAAGGAGCTGTAGCACACTGTGTCAAGCTTCAGGGACAAAACCCATCAAGAGCAGGCATGCAATCAAACAGCAGCCCTTTAAAGAAGCTCTAATAGGATAAAATCCCAGTGAAAATAATGACGTCAATAAAAGCTATACCAGTGATTAGAGAAACCACACGGTGAAACCTGATGAGCAAACTAGAGCCACTAGGTGAGTTTGTATGGCCATAAAACAACATTATTTGCTTAATGCGTGCACTATTGTGTGAGTTTCCTGCATTACCTTCCAGCAGAAATGAGATGCAGGGATACAAAACCGTCTGTAAAGCAGAGGGAGAGGAGAGGAGGGGAGCTGTGTGTGGCTAGGTGCATTAACATACAGATAGAATAGGTAAAGAGTTTTAATGTACTCAGGAGGCTGGGAGGATGGGGAGGTAAAGTGAGAGGTGGGGAAGAAAAGAGGGAATGAGAAAGACAATCAGCAGCCGGGTGCCACAAGGCAGGCATCCATGACCTTATATCTCAGTTCACAAGGGGCAGAGGAAGAAATGAAAGGCCTACAGGAGGACAGAAATATAGGTAAAGGAAAGACGAGACGAATGGAGAGAAAGTAAATCTGAAAGAGAGCACAGGGACCACAATACATCTCAAAGAAGTAGGGCAGAGTGAGAGGAGGGCTAGAAAAAGGAGACATTTACAAAATGTTTGGCATATCCATGATTGCATTAAAATAAAGTCTGGTCAGCTTAAAATTGAAAGAAGACGACATTTGAACAAAGCACATTTGCAGGTTTGTGGTGTGACAGATCAAACCATGCAGATAGGTTGGTCTGGACCCACACATACAATCACATGACTTAAAATAAGTGCAACAGTCTTTTTGCTTTGAGAAATAAATCTTATTTGACTTGCAGTTTATAAGTAACCCAAGTCATGGAAAAGCTGAAAAAGAGCCCAGTATTCAGTCTCAAGCATTCATATTATTGCTCAAGGTACGGCCGAGAAGATGTGTGAAGTGGGCTTTCAGACAGAATTAGTGAGAAGAAAGACAAAAGCCTCTGCACTACAACAATTATAAAGACAGACAATAAGAACATTATGGCGTCAAGGTGTCGCTCAACACACACAACGGAAGCTGTTGAAAGGTCACTAAAAGAAAAGGAACCCACCACAACACAACAAGCTGAACTTCTCCAAAAGAAGTAGTGCATGGTCTCCCTTCAGAGAAACACTTCTGTCTGGAGGCAAGAATTCCCAAAGTGTGTCTAGACAACATTTCCCTTTACTCCCCCTTTCTGGTGTGAGACTGAGAACATACAATCTGTTAGCAGCTCTGCATTTACACCCTCCAGCACTCCATCCCCACAACATAAACCCTCACCCTTCCTCTCTCTGCGGACCTAACTGTCGCTGTCCTTGGTCCTTACACAGAAACCAGAGCATGTTGCAACTCTTAAAAGGCAGTTTGTGCAAACTGCTGCAGCCTTGTGTGCTAACGCCAGAACAGAAAAAAAATCAAGACCACTTTAGAGCGAGGCCTGCAGTTTGGCGTGTATACTGACACACTGACAGGAAGAGTTGGAACTTAGTAAAGTCTTCTGCCTTATCTATACAACTCTACTGCACCAGAGTCACAGTGCAAATAATCTATCTATGGAATCTTTCACACTGTACTCATGTTAAAGAGGATATGCCCTTTTCACTGGAACATACAAAAAGACCAAAACATCCCTATATCCAATGCTGGATTAATGAAAAGTTATTACGGAGTTCATAGGAAGTCTTAGAAGAGCCTTTTTTAAATATTAAAGAGCATAACAATTCGTGGCTATTTGAGTTGCTGATCTATTTCAACTTTCAAAATAAAGCATACAGTACAAAGGATCCCTTAAATGTAACTCGATTTTTATGCGGCATGATTTTTTAGGCGATCTTATAGGGTTGAAAATTATTGTATTGCAACTTTACGGATGTTATTTTGGGCTAAATGAGAAATGGCTTTTGCTTTTATTTGGGATGCATCTTCCCACCATCTGCAGGGCATCTCAGCCGCTGTGGGAGTGTAATGAGAGACACATGTATCCAGTATGACAGAAAGGTGGTGTATAAAAGAAGTCCATTTACTGTTTTACCATTCCCAATCAGACTGGTGAAACCGATCCTCAGAACACATAAGAGGTTGTGGTTGAAAGAATTATCTTATGGCACTTTTTGTTTTACCTTAACAGGCACAGACAAATGTTAAAAGAAAACTACAGTTTTGTAAACTACAATTATTTTTACTCCTTTACAACAGCTAGGCCTGATTCATTTGATGTTGACTCCAATGAGGGGGAATGAAATGACTATTGAAGTAGGTCTCAATACTACCTCAAGGTTTCTCTCTGACCTCTCTCTAACATCTTTCATTGGCAGCAAAAAGTTCATTACTTTTGTTTTCACACAGAAACCACAACTTTGAGGATCCTTGTTCCAGAACCTCCCTGTCTTTGTAAAATATACAATAGTACTTTCAAATAGCTACATTTAATAAAATAGTGTTTAATTGAATTTGTATCTGTATGCATGAATATGATCACCGTATGTATACAGTTATTCAAAACGTATATGTTGACCTTGGAAGTGGTTCATAGAAGTCGTGGTTGAACTTACCATGAGGTTATTGGGGGCAGGCCTCTCTTTGGGTTGCCGTCGCATGCTGGAAAAAAAAATGTAAGAGTGATACAAGCAGTCTGTATCCGGCCACTATTCAAACTGTCTTTGCAAATGTACAAGAGGTGTTTTTGACTTTCATCTCGGTGGCATCCTTTTCAGTTATGAAGCTATATTCAATAAGAGTTCTGAATAGATACAACATTTCTTTCAATACATTTATTTATTCAATATTTCAAAAATAAAATGGATTTGTTTTATTTGTCAGAACACTCAAATTGAAGCAGTAACCACACATTAGTAGATTTATTAGATTACTGTGGGTTTTGTGAGTGTCCTTTATAGTATGTGCTGTATATTGGGGACTTTGAGGAATTAGTGCAGGGGCCTCTCTGCAGTTTGTCATGTCAGCAGTTTATGTATCACAATGAATGGGCCATGATCCTCGAAGAATAGCCTGGGAGGAGATACTGCACCGAGGCAGGTACCTCAGTCTGTCCTGAGAGAGTCGTGCCCCGTTTAAGTAAATAAAGCAGGCATGGGGGATAAACAACAGATGGCACAACCAGGCCCTGAGTGCGGTGCGGTACACACACACACACACACACACACACACACACACACACACACACACACACACACACACACACACACACACACACACACACACACACACACACACACACACACACACACACACACACACACACACACACACACACACACACACACACACACACACACACACACACACACACACTCTGCTTGCATGTGGTTTGGGTGTGTATGTACATGTTTGTGCAACTGTAAAGGTTACAGGAGGCTAATGAATCGGAGGCAAACTCAGGGTAAACATTGTCTTTGTCCTGTTGCATTAGAGGATTCAATCATCCCTTTTTATTCAGCAGCATTGAATATCATAGCTAAAACCATTACAACCACAATGCATTAACACACAGGCAAATACACTTTAACCCCTTTGTATTGCCATTATACCTTTGATTCATCTACCATCATTTGGCTCATCTATGTCAAATACCGCTTCTGGTCTTGTAATTGTTCAGCGTGGCTCTGTGGGGCTCAGATGGCTGACTGTGCCACGCATATTAAGCCATTATTAACTAGAATCACAAATACTGTGCAATCAACAGCCATTGAAAACTGACAACATTCCATTTGAAATCTGATGTTTTCATTGAAACAATTTCTGTGTCTGTCCTTCGAGAAACAAAAGCGTATTGAACAGTAACTGACTCACCACTGAGTGATGAAGTGCACAAACTTCTCACTGAACTGGCCCACAGGAAACACTGGAGGATCCTGTGAAGAGGAAACAAAACCACTGAGAAAACAAGAAATATCTCATTCAAGGATGATAGTTACCTGCTGTACAGACTGAAAGATACTGACATACGTATCTGCATGATTTAAACGTGATCCTACTTGTGTTATGTCATTTAATCACTCGTAAAACCAGAGTTTAGACCAGTGCACACCTCCTTAAAATGTTGAATTGGTAGTTAGGGTAAGTTTGAAAAATCTAATTATGATCTTAGCTTTAAGGGGGTTGGAGCAGTATGTCAGAAAGGATCTAAATTAAACCTTTGTAGATATAAAACATTATAAATCAAAATGGGTTTTGGTACACTAGAGACAGAAAAGACATTGTCACACCTTACCACCGACTGAGGAATATTATTGTTATATTATAGTTTCTTTGTGAAAAAAAAAATGCTAGTTTTGCCAAATACTATAGCAAGATGTTTCAACAAGGTTTAATGCTTAATAGAAAACAGACAAGTAAAAAAGACCACTTTCAAAGACTACATAACGCTGAAGAGCCTGGATTGAGAGTTAAGTATCCTTCTTGTAAGAACACTTTGAGTCTGACCTCAAGGCTACAGTTGAGTGGTCGTTGTACAACACTTGCTGGAGGACATAACTTTTGTCTGGTTGGGTTAATTCATCAACGAATATGTTGATTCATAAAGGGGGATGACCTGGCGTATTTTGAAGCCGTCATAGTTTAGATTTCCAGCATTACCGTAATGGAGATTATGTTGAAAGAACATGGCTGAGGTTTTTAAATGAGCAACGTGGCTCTTCTCATTGAAAAGAACCAAATCAAGGTCTTCTAGCCAAGTTGTTTATACCATTGATTTATTATTCAGAAAACACTACAATTGGGAAAGCATGATAACGAAAGACTAGACAAAAATAAAACCTTCTGTTCAATATTGAAAGCCAATGCAACAAAAGGGAAAATTATAATAATACCCTTAAAATAAGTAAAATACAAATGAATTTCTTTAGTTGATTTGAATAGTGCATGTTCATACTATCAGAGCAGCTGGTACACACACGATCCACAAAGGGACATTTCATATTTAGATTGTTTTCTTTTTGGTAAATTATTGAGTAAAAGACTGAGACTATGACATTTCATTTTGGGACGGTGACTAAATATGCTGCTAAAATGAACATGAGTAAGGTGTGTGTGTGTATGTGTATGTGTTAGTGTGCATCAGGCTTGTGACATGTTGTCAATGAAGGGTCTATGAACCGTGTCATGTAGAACAGCTGGGCCAGACTGACCCTGTATTACTGCCCTCACCTCATCTCTCCGCTCCTTTCTCTACCTTTGGCGGATCTTATTATGTAGGCTTATCTTTACCAATGTGGACCACTGCATTGCAAAAGCAGTATATCAAATTCACACACGTATTCTCAGTTTTAATGACGATATGTATATGTAGAGTATGGTAATCTATATTAATATGTTTTTGTTGATCAAATGAATGTTTAAACTGGCAATCATTTCAACACAATTGCAAGAATAACTTTGATCACTAAAATCTTCCTTTGACACTGGTTGCTGAAATGTAACATACCGCATCCTGACACACCAGCATGAGCACATGACAGATGTTTACCCCAGATCAAATATGATATGTTAAAACTAAGTTGACCAGTAGGTTATTGGTAGGTGTTAGTCCTTCACGATATGCACAACAGTTATAACCAATGATATGAGCTCAGATGTGAAAACTAAAAAGAAAAAAAACGACTCAAATATCCACTACAATCATAAAGCCTGGGTCTACAACCAAGCGTTTATTCAAATGCAGGGAATTAAACCTCTTCGCATCTGAAGCCCTGCTGTGCCATTAAAAACACCTCTGGGCAGTGTTCGCTTTTCCTTAATGCTCTGATCGGCAGGCTCTCGCAAAGCATGATGCATGAACCCATTTAAATTAACAAAGGAATGGGTTCCCTTCTAATCTCACTGCACTTCACAGTGCTGCCGCCGCTTGGATGAGCAATATATCATAGCACATGCACATAAACACACAGGCATGCACAAACAAATGCCCTTGAGCAATGCAAACCACAAGTCTGAGTGTTCACTCTGTTTAGAGAGAGAGAACCAAATCATTTGCAACCACTGTATTGCGGTGTGCACACACTCACACACGATCTTGACTACACAACTCATGCACGTGTCGTGTAAGCTAAATCTGATATAAAACCTCTCTCTGCACTTTCCCCGCATATTTGCATGCACATGCAGCTTTTTGCAGGCACAAACACAAACACACACATTTATGCATGTATTCATGTCTCCAGCTGAGAGGAACACCGCTGCAGCTTTGATGTGGCAGCAGGCGACGGCACAAAAGACAAGCAGGCTGATGAAAGTGGCTAGTCTGCGTGAATTATTCCTCTGGTTGTCAATGCGCTCCACTCTGAGACAGAACACACACTACGAGGGTACAAGGGTACAAGTAAATATACATGTCATTGCCATGAAGCAATTATTAGGCAAAATTAGATCAGTAATTACAGGCTTGAAAATAAAGTGGGAGTTCTTTATTAGTGGAGCCACTTGCTATTCAACAAACAGAGCAGAGAGGCACATTAATGAGGGTCGACAGCGGACAGATGGTGGGAACAACTCCATAGAACTTCTCGTTCAAGACCTAAGCTGAATAAGGTGAGCATGTTTCTCTGCCATACACTATTAACATCCAAAAATAAAAAGATGGCCGAATAGAAAAGCCATTTTTACACAGGCATCCGCTGAATATTGCTTTAGGTTTTCCCACAATTGTACTTTTTTCTCCGTAATTGCTTTCAATTAACTCATTTCTACACAGAAAAAAGGGGCTGTAATGAAAACTATGGAGAGCCTTTTCTTTGAATTATCTATGACGTTAAAAATATTTTTTCTTAACAAAGTTACATCAAATCCCTTTATGTTGGGATATATGGGGACACGTGCATGGCTAGATACCATTACGTTAGTGAGAACATATTTATTTTTGTAGGTAGGATGAACTTAGTCTTGTTTCCATTCATCTTGTAAGCTGTGACATTTTATCAGTTATATTTCTATCTTTGTTGATGGGTTTTTATAAGTGTCTCTGCCAAATAAAAATTCAATTCAGAATTTGTATTTTGTCTATCTGTTGATCTGTTTACCTTCTAACTGTAAACTAACTTAATTTGCATCTCCACATATATTTGTATTCTTTGTTTATTTTGAGCTAATGAAAGGCTTTCTCAGCCCTGACACACTGTGTGGTTGTGTCATCATAGGAGTAGAAGAAAGAAAAAAGAGTGGCAGACTGTTACACTGCAACCGCCACCACACACATACCTCCAGCCAGAATAATATTAATGATCCACTCTATCCAGCCTATTACTCATTCAGCCATTAAAGCAACTTTCAAAGCCCCAGTGGATAAGTCACACACAATATCAAAGCATCACAACCAAAGAAGTATATGGATCTACAGTATAATGGGCAATACTTACTAAATGTCAAGGACTCAGGTACAATTAATCACACCTGCCATAATGTTGAAGCCAGGTGTGTCTAGCTCAATTAAAATACCTAATCATTAAATTAACTACTCCATTGGATCAGTGTTAGTCCATAATGCCTCTAAAAGTTATGCTATGAAAATAATTACCTTTATTTATCCAGCATATTTCAAAACAAAGTTGCAAAGTGCTCTATATGGTTGAACGAGGACATTTCAGGTCTGCAACAAGGCAAATTCAATCAGACAGGAAGCAGTCCAGCAATATAACTGGGTTCTAAACAATGACGCTTAAAAACTGAATGTTGTGTTTATCTATGATATGTTCCGGCCACATCATGTATACACAGAAACATGCCTAGGGGAACACCACAGGTCAAATGGGCCACATCAAGGAGAAACTCCTACATCTTCAAGAATAAGTTATTGGATTAATAAGATTTGAAAAATCTGGCAGTTCTATTATCAATCTAATAGAAAAAAACAATCAACTGTGTCGAAGGCCGAGATGAGATCTAGAGTCCTATACATTCTCTGAGCCACTTGGTCAAAATAGTGCTTATCCTCTTGTCTCTTCGTCCAAAGCACTGCATTAGTTAGGGCAGTAAGGCAGTGCTAGCTCGCTAGGGGACAACATAAAATGTTCTCTGGCCTCAAGGGGAGAAACAGGGTAAGGCACAGGAAAAATTGTTTTGAGTGATGCCTCTGTCTCGCAGACTAATGAACAGTTCAGCCTAGGTCAATCCATTACAACCAAAAGCATTTAATTATTAATTACGGCCAAATCTATAGGCAGTTAAGGGCAAGTGACATTGTATGTTTAATGTGTAATACGGCTGGAGAAGGGGTTTTGGGGGGCTAGTTTAGGCAAGAGAGGTGTTGTGGCATTTTTGCTATTACTGGACGACAGCAAATAACTCAAAAAAAGAGTGTGGAAAGCTTGTGATGGCTGTTTAAAAAACACATTAGTGGTGTGAGCCTACATATCCATACACACAGACTCATTGAAATAGCATGTCAATTAATAAGGACATATACAAATGTGTGTATTAGGAAAAGAGGGGAAACATTTGAGCATTTCAGTATCAGACGTTACCTACAGCAGGTAAACATATTATATAGAAATGGGCATAAATATGGCAGACTTCCTCTAAAGCCGTATTTCATCAAATAATGTACATACAAATCTGGTTACAGTATGTTCAAATAAATTACAAGCGGGAAACTGAAATTGTTGAATTGTTTTTACATAAAATGTGTAATATATATTTTTCCCTTTTTATTGTTTCTTTCATACATATGTATGTTTATGTGTCATTATAATTGCCTTTATTTAAGAGTTTTGTTATGCCTTTTATTATAGAAACAAACACACAGGGCCGTCATAAGAATATTCCTGGTTAAACAATTGCTTTGTTGTTGTTTCTATAGTACACAGAATGGAGAGCTGTGCCGCTGAGTGTGTCAGTCGTGACAGGTCCAGCCTCAACAGTAATGTGCGTGTGCATATGTGTACTGCCTGAGGCAGTTGCATAGGGTGAAGGGTTGAGTGAATGGGGAGCAAAGCCGCCTGAGTGGTTTGCTTCATTAGGAAACAAAATATAAGCTTTCCGGGCCATTAGGACTGACTTTAGATGCAAAAGCACATAAGACGACGACTCACCTCATCAACGATGCATTGCAGTAACTGGAGAGGCTGCAAGAGGAGAGACACAGGGAGATGGAAACATGGAATTTCACAGCAATAGGGAAAATCAATAGTGTGATAAAAAAAAGTATCTACTTAGATTAATCAAATGCAGCGAGCTTAGCCAAAGCAATCCTTCAGCTCCTGCATGTTTTTTTATTATTCCATAATGGCACCTAATGTATTACCAGCAGTTTAAGCATGATCTAATATTTCATTGTAAAAATGCAATTTGAGTGTTTATTCAAATGAGAGAGCCAACCAAGAGTAACAGACTATAGTGTGGGAGACCTATTTTCTTCCTTCCTACTCTAATGCAATAAAACTTACCATTAGAGATCCTTGGTTTTTCTGAATCTGTAGGGCAAGACAGAGAAGAGGGGACGAGGCAATATGTAATTAGCGTGTCACAATCAAGACGATACACTTGGACACATTATGATCACTAGGAGAAAATTATTTCTTTCCTGTTGGCAATTTGTGAGTATGCGTTACAACCATTTACATAATGAAAACACACAAATGTTAATGGCCTTGTTCTCATTTGTGGAGAATGGGGGTAAAAGATCCACTAATGCTAATTTTCAGAGAAGTACTTTGTTCATACCCTCCAGGTTATCAAGATGTGCCGGGATAACTGTTACAAACAGTATGAGCAGGCTTTGTAATGAGCATGCTCATTGTGTCAGTTTCACAGGTACAACACTTGATGTTACATGATGACAGTGGGGTTAAAGCTATTGTTTTTTTAGACTATGCAATACGCAAAAATGTGATTTGTGTGCAGATCTTTGCAAACAAAATAACACCAAATATCTAGTGTTGAGTCGACAAATCAAAAAAACGAACATCAAAGATATTCAATCCCTCTTTGAAAGACTAAATGCGCTTCTTATGTTGCCGTTCAAAACATAATGTATGGACAGAGTCCTTGAAAATAAGAGCTAGAGTAGGAAGTCTTAATATGAAAGATCTAGCAATGAGTGTTTTGTGTAATCTAATGTAAATGTAAGTGATACTACAGTGGGAGTGCATCAAGCATTTAGTTTTCCTTCTTTAAACCTCCAGGGCTGAATTCACCAGGACAATCTGGTTTGATTTCCAAAAGCCCAAATGTACAACGTACTCATATAGGCTGAGTGCTATAGGACCTGAAACCTATAGTCTCAGCTAAATGTCTAAGAATGTTTGGTAAATAAATTGCTATTTTCTCTAGGTTTTTTGACAGTGCATTAGAGCACTTATTGATTCACTCAATTAAATACAGGTTTTCACACTCTGCAAATACCAAGAGGCTCCTAAACTGCCTCTATATCCAGTTTTGCCTGATTCAGACACATTAAAAGCAACTATGGAAAACTAATTTGTTCAGAAATAATTACTAGGACAAAATAGCGTGCTGCTCCAGGGGTTGAAATTGGATAGTGGGAGACTAACTTATTCAAGCATAATTGAGCACTTATTCTTCTTGTACTAGGTAGATTGACCGAGCATCAAAAAGAGATATTTAAAAATGATTTCCTTTTGTATCCTTTTAACAGTCTCTCATCACTAATGGCTGACTATCTGGTAGACATATCATTATCTGCATGTTCATCCTGAGGGTAATAGTGTTTCATAGTTAAACTTAAAAAGACTATAATTATGCATATCATAACATTTTCTTCCTATAAGACGGACACAAATGATGTTTGACAAGAAATGAATTTGTGTTTGCTGAAGAAGTTGGGAATGGACCCACATCCAATAGGATTGTGTACGAGAGCAACCGAGTGTGTGTGAGAATGTGTCCGTGTGTGTAATGCTAAATGACGACTGTAGTTGTGAAGAACAACAACAGCTCCTTGTTTGGCTTTGTGACAATTTGTGAGCCACATCAACACTTTTTGGGTTGTTTGAAAATATCACAGTGGGCTCAGTGTGAAAATAGGAAGTCACAATTTTTGGATGTCAAATCATTTCTGTTCCTTTTAACAGCAACACAATAAACAGTTCTAAAAGATCAGATGGCCAAAAGCTCAAGGATGTTCAGAGATATTTCTTCAAAGGTAAGGAATCAGAAAACTCCCGAAGAAAAAGTCTCACTTTGTGATAAAAAAAAAAGCAGAAAGCAATTTCTACAAAGGTTGACATGCATATTTTGGGCATGGGCAAGGGCAACCCCTTTATTCTAAAGTCTACGCTCCAAAACTGCTCAATTTAGATTTGTTGAGGTAAACTTAGATGGCGTAACCTGTTTGATTAGTGCCAGACATTTTGCATAGCTCAAAAATGTTTGGGTGACAACAAATAGCATGATAAGAAATAGTCAGAATGTAGCTGTACACATCATTTAAAGTAATTTAAAGCCTAAAAAGGGGTCTAATACCCCGATTCTTTTTTCCAACTAATCTCTTAAAGGAGGACATGTGACCAAGCAAAAACAAACAAGTTTGGAGCTGTGGAGCGGGTATAGGATGCTGAAAAATTACAGCAAACATTGTTAACCACACGCATACAGAACTACAAAACTATTCTTTCCATTTCATTTGAGAGGGAAAAATAGAGTCGCAAAGGGAAAGCGTCTCTGCCGTTTGATGGATGCAGTGATGTGTAATGGAAGCTCCTGAAACATACACAAAAATAACTGACACGGTAGTTCATCCAAAAATTAATTCAAATTTGAGAAAAATATGACAAAATGGAGAGAAACAAAAACAACCATAAAGCAAACAAATCAATCAGAAGCAATAGCGCTGGCGGCTGTATACACATCACATAGGATCTGGTGTCTTCAAAGACTTTCAGAGCGAGCCGCGCAAAAACTCCATTAACTCCTGACAAAGGACGCAAATGAATCCCGACATGTGGTGAAGTGGAATTAAAGAGACCATCTCTAATCATGACAAACATGAGGTGATGATTCCACTGTGCGTGCTGCACAAAGAGATGAGGGATAATGCATCAAATGAAAGCATCACAGACTCGTACTCAGAATGTAAAGGCTGAAGCTAAGACCCCAAACAATGCTAACATTTGCTTTTCAAAAATGTAAATCATGGACAGCCAAGACCCAACTTTAATAACTCATCCGGTATCTTCCACCAAGATGCCACAGATTCTCTCTCATCTTCTCCAACTCCTCCCTCAGTATGTACTAAAATGTTCTCCGTGAAGTGTAGCAGGGGCTACAGCTGTGCCAGCGTCTGCAAAAATGACAGTTTAGGCCCGAGGACTTTGGCTGGCTGCGCCTGACGAGCTGGATCCGAGCGCTCTCGCCACACCGCTCTGCCACAGCCTGCAGGTGAACTGTCTGCAGTACCATATGGAGTTAGGGGGAAATTAACACTACGATGAGGAAAGCTGCATGACAGTGGAGAGCTTCAACTACAAACTGAGAGGTGTTTTCTAATATTTTGTCTTATTTCTATCAATGAGGGTAGAATAAACTACTCTTTATTTTCAAAAATACACCATCAATTAACATGATAATGAAAGCAACAGCCCTCTAAAACCAGACATGCCCTAGGCTGCCACACAGATTGATCATTGTGTGACATTTACATCACTATACAAGTCAAGTGTTCTAAAAACACACCTATGCTCCCTTACACAAAGGATTGCATATGCTTTTCATAATGGCTCAAGAACTAATGATCAACACAGGAAACAAGTGAATAGCTACATCACGACTTGCTGTTCACTGTGGAAGTACGCAACTAGGTACTGAAGTCATTCAATGAAAACATACTTGGGTTTCTCTCAGCACATAAGAGAGAACATTAATAGGATAACACCTTTAAGCTGAGGTTACTAACATTGAAATCCAAAACACTTTGACATTTGAGTTCACATAAAGGTTGATCATTGAAATCTCGTATCATTCAGCTCCAACGTTAAGTGAAGTGGTTTCCTCTCACCCAGAAAGGATAGTTGGCAAAGTGAAAGGAAGCCGTCAATTAGGCAATCCCCGGGCTGATAGAGCATCACACTCGGTTGCTTTAATCAACCGCAACAACGTTTCATCTGACTGACGGAGCAGTCCGAGTGGTGCTTACATTAAGCCTGCAGGAAAATGACACACAAATGATGACCAATGCTAATATGCAGAACATGGTCAGGACTTACTTTCCATGTTAGTCAAACAAAAAGTGTAAAGTTGTAGTGTTGTGAAAAATATGTCTATGTCATCATGCTTTAAGAACAAACTGTTCATTATATATCTCTCTATATCTCTGCCCATCTCGTGAAAGGCAGGCTGCCAGGAGGTAACCTGAGGTAACCCGATTTAGATTGCTGCGATAGGGATTAGTGAGATAAACCCATCTTAAAGGGGCTAATTAAGACTTGATGGGATTGGGAAGTTACTTCAGAGGGTGGCAATTACATTTGAGCAGGATTTTAAGATCAAATGAGGAAAGAAACCCAACAAATCAGTAGATGTTAACATTTAAAGTTGTATATCATTACTGAGCAACTCGTTTATAAAGTAATATAGATGAAGTCAAAAAAATATTTTAGAGGTCAAAAACTTCTCGGTCTTAAGCATGATGAGTACCTCACTATTTAATTTGTTTGAGCTATATTTTTCCAGGATGACTCAATTTGATTCAACTTCTGCTTTACAAGCCAGTCTTGGCAAAGAGGGCAGCATAAAAGGTTTCATATAAAGGAAAAGACGATGAACAAAACAGCAACAAAAAGCATTAAGAAACAGAAGATCATTATTAGTGATAATTCTTTATGGCAAACATTTTGTGAAACATTTTTTTCAGGATTTCTGATAGTCATCTTTCATCACAGCCAAATACATGGACATTTTTAAGTAGAGATGCCATAAAAACAATTAGCCTAAAAATAATTCAATAATTAAAGACTGAAATGAACTCACCTGTGGATAGGGGAACATGCCTAGCGCCAACTGTGTAAAGAAGAAAGAAAAAAGAATTTTCTTTAGACATTTAAAATAAAATAAAATCTGGAAAAGGTTTCGTCAGTACTGTGGCAATATCTGTAAATACATGTAAAACAGGTTTTTGCTTTTCACTGAGACATGACCAATAAGACAATGGCCAAGGAGCAAAAAGAAAAAGCGCCTTTTTGGCAATATTTCAGATTTAAATCCAATGCTAATGTGATTAATGTAAATAATAATATAAGGAAACTTTGGTCCGTGTGGAGGATAGAACGTGATGCATGCAGAGTGTAAGTGTGTACACACCTAGCACAGGGACCTCAGAAATGTTAACCCTGCGTCAAATTATATCTCACAAATGATGCTTCAAAAAGGTAGAATGTCTGGTATGGCTGCTGGATTGGAACCCCAATCAACTAGAAAGGCATTTATGATTGATGAACATATCCATGTTTTTAGTATGAGAAAAATGCATTAAATGTATTCAGGCCTTTCTATTGTCAGTGTCTTAATGACATTAAATTGAAGATACAGAAGGAAAATGCTGCTAAGCCGCTGAAGCCTACCGAATGTGGGACTTTCTGTCTTTGGGGTAAGCTTAAAGTGCCCACCTGCTGATTACACTTCCTCATCAAACAACACCAGCTATTAGTTAATAACCCCCCACGATTACCACCTGCGGGGAATAAAATGGTGGGATGAAGAGAGGCAGGACAGGATTGTGGGACGGTTGTATGGAATGTGTGTGTGTGTGTGTGTGTGTTATTCTGGCTGGGGGTGGGGTGACAGCTCTCTCTGACATTTAGCAAATCACACGGGGTGAGCATTTTTCAAATTGGTCAAGGGCAGCTTATTGGCAACATCATGTTATTAAAAAGTCAAAACGCTCACAGTTTTTCCTTGAACATAAATAGACCAACTAGCAGGCTGAAGATCAATCAAAATGTAATGGGACTTAGAGCCATTTCATTTGGCTTAACGCACACACCCACAGCGAGAAATAAAGAGAACCGGGGGGGGGGGGGGGTCCTCTGCTATAAATCTTTATCACAGAGAGATCATGTCAATACTTGTGACATGGCTGCTGTCCTCTGAACACATCTATTATTGTTATAAATGTAAAGATATTAGTGATTATTGGACAGGGACAGACGGTGGATCAATAATGTCAGCCGGGGGAAAAGGGACCAGGGAATGTCCCATGAAAACTAAAATGTAATTTTAAAGCACAGGGTGTCAGTCAAGCTACACATACATGTATCTTCAAACTCAATTTGGACTGTTATTACAAAAAAACAGACCACTTTTGCTATAAGTTAGTGTCACCTCCATCAATATCCTACTCTGTTTTTAATGTACAAATTCCAGCTATAGTGTGAATTAATATATACTTTGTCCCACCTCCATGAAAGAGATTCCCACACTCCAGACATCTGCGTGGATACCATACTGCTCTCCCGATATCCTCTCTGGCTGTGGAGCACAGAACAAACAACAAAAAGCATGAGGACAAACTTTGTGAATGACAATTACCTCATCTACAACTTTTAAATAACTTGAAACAGAGGAGGAACTGAGAGGATCACTTACTGCCATGTATGCATTTGTTCCAACATACGTTTTGGCAATAGAATTCACCAACTGCAAAACAAAAGATGAAACAGTGGATAAGCAGATAATAATGCTGCAGTCAAAAATAAAATATGACTATTCCATTGACTTTATTAAGCATTGTTATAGTCATTCCTCTGGTGTCCTATATATGGGAAAAATAGAGATAGGAGTTGGACCTAAATTGCATCTAAATGTATTGATATGTCAGGTTGATATTTTGGGATGCTCTCAAGCCTTGCAAAGGGGAACAGGAGTACGACAAGGAGACATTGGTGAGTGTACAATGCCCCATGCCATCAATGACAGGACTGTGATAATGAGTGTCTGTTCCCTCATGGCCTACGATGTGAGAGGGGGGAGCATAGACTGTATAGGGGGGAGGGAGAGTGTGTATGTGTGAAGGAAACGTAAACAGGAACATAGAGTTAAAAAAGATTGAGGGCAAGTCAATGTTACAGTGTCCAGCTATCCGTGCAGGGTGTCAAATTCACCTTGTATCTTTTAAGGAAGTGGAGGTTAAAAATGGATGAAAGGAAATGATTGTGTGTGTTTGTTTAAAAGAGGGACACAGTCCTCAGGGTTGTTTTTGGGGAACGTTGAAGGTCTGTCCCTTATGATTTCATTTCAAACACACACACGCCCACACACAATGACTAGGCTATTGTCTGCTACCCACGCTTTCCCCACATCTCCTGAATACATATCAATGAGGCTTTGCCGTTGTGTGTGTGTGTGTGCGGGTCATAATTATAACAAGTGATTTTTTTGGAGGCTGCAGAACAATGGGGGGGGGGGGGGGGGGGGAAGTTAATGTGAGCGGAAGACCCTTGGGATCGCCTCGATGTTTTGAGTTGAAAATGAAGCCAGTGATTGAAATGTTGACCATATGCGCACAGATCAGATCACACACACACACACACACACACACACACACACACACACACACACACACACACACACACACACACACACACACACACACACACACACACACACACACACACACACACACACACACACACACACACACACACACACACACACACACACACACACACACACACACACACACACACACACACACACACACACACACACACACACACACAGTGCTGCAGCTATAGACAATCGTGTTTCTTCTTCCATTCTCTTGCTCTCTTTCATGCTCACATAAACAAACCAGTGTACCTGTGTGCTGACACCAAAGTCACAGAGCTTGACTTGTCCTCGGGTGTTCACCAGCATATTGGAAGGCTTGACATCTGCGGAGACAAACTGCTTGATAGAACTGCAACATCAGCACTGTACAGCCTGTCGCTATCAACTCTTTTTTTAATAACACAGCTCCCGCACACTACCTTACTCACCTCTGTGAAGTATCTTCAGGCTCCATAGATACGTCAGCCCTTTGACTACCTGAAGGCACAGATGAGAGGAAAAACAGATGAACTTTGGCATAAAAATGGCAATGATCCTGTTTACATCACGGTAAGGCAGAGCTTAGTAGGCTTTTATATCTATTTATTGTAGTTGATATCGGTAATCGCATAATTCTCCCTGCCAAGATCCCCCTACTTACTACTCCTACTCACTCAGCCTGGATGAGTGGGGGATCTGGCTGATGTAGAAGAATGTGACTATCCTTAAGTCTTAATACCAGGGTAAAGGATCCTAAAATGCACTACAGTTAGGTAGTCTGAACTTGTTTAGACTCTGTATTGGACTGTGGGGTAAAAAGAAAGATCCGAACTGCACAATGAAACTCGCAATTTGCAGCTCAATCTTTGTTACGGTCCTCCATTCTGCTCAAAGAATTGGGTAGTCACTGAAATAATAAGACTGCCGATACAAGCAAACAAGAAAGTGTTTCTTCAAAGGGAGATTTGTCTCAGAGGAGCTGAGCAATTAGGAAGGACTTCCGTAATTGCTCCTTCACATTGAGAACAATTCAGTTTGTTAGGGAACCTAGTTAGGGTTTTAACATGTACAAATGACTCGGGTAGATATGGAAGGGAAAACGCACACTGCTGAGAGTAACGTGGGTAAGATAGGAGACTTTTTCATTTGTGCAGCCAAAAAAAAACACCTAAAATGATTATATTTTTGTATATATAATGACTCGTTTCCCAATGAGTAATCCTGCTTTCCTTTAGGTGATGCGGGAGCTGATTCTTGCCTCTCGACTGCTGACATCTATCTCTGAAGCATGGCAACTTCAATTAAGAAAGCAAAAAGCTGTCTGAAGTCCCGCTGCCTCAAAAGGCGGTGGTGTGAGTGCAAATACTGCAGCGTGCAGCTTCACTCACACCCTCTCTGGTGCTTTCCCTTTTGTGATAATTAACAACTGTGACAGTGGGAAGGAGGGAAAGCTGTGAATTAGAATTAACACTGACTAAATAGCTGTCATTGTTTGATTACGGACAAAGTTAAAGGGCGGGAGACAGAAACGACAGGAGAAGGGTAATGAGTTTGGAAAAGGCCATTTCTGTCAAAATACTAGTTTAAATGAGAGTAGAAAGAGAGGGAGAACGGGGAGGATACAACACTGACTTTGTCCATCACTTCACCAAATAGAAACCAATTAAACAATTCACACCTGTGGTTCTCTTTTGTTTTATTTCCTTAATAAAAATGAGTTTTTTCCTAAGGCTTTCTGCATCCCATAAACAAATAACAGGTTGCATTTAAAAATGTTGATGCTAGGAACACATGGGACAATCTCAGATAAAATATTTGTTTTTGAAAGACTCTAAGGGATACCTGTTAAGTCTAATGCTGTTTACTTAGTATTCAAACTACTGAAAGGGAGATCAAGTATTTCATTCAAACTTACTGCTACTGCGATCCTCCCCAGCACATGCTCTGGAATTCTTTTGTACACGTCTAGAGAACCACCTGTCAAAGACAAATTATTTAATCAAGCAGTGATACAGCTTTACACATTTTGTAACATTTCTCAACTGTTGAGAAATGTTACAAAAAAAGGCAATGAGGGTATTTGTTGAACAAATACCCTCATTGCCTTTTTTCTCACATAAAACAGCCGTGCTGATTCAGAAGCAGCATGTCCCAAACAAAGACATGATGGTTCTCTTACACTGAACATTCACACAAAATATTTTTTAAACATATTCATAATTAGGAAGAACGATGAGCACTTCTGAATGCAGAACTCCCAATCCCACAATGTTTCAATCACAACTTGTATTGTTCAAAACATCTAAAATATACAAACAAAATTATAATAATAACTTTCCCAATGTTTCCAAGTCATTGGACCTTCTTCACAAAGCTGTCTGCTGCATAATATGTAAGACTGTTTAAATGTAGAGGACACATACTTGTTATATTTCAAAATGTACCTAAATCTATAGTGAGTCTACACAGTTATAATTCATATATTAACAGTTTCTTCATATGATATTGAATTTTAATTTTTTAACACTTATTTTCCATATGAATAAAACAAGAAACAAAAGGACAAAGTCATTGATGTTTCTTTAAGCCGTCAACTTTTCACCCTCATTTCTAGACTAACTGGAAGTGACTGATCAAATGTGTCATGAAGCAAAGAGTGCTGAGAGGTTAGACAGACTTTGCTGACATCCTAGTTGATGTGTGAAACAGGGGAATCCCTGCATTAACACACACTGACAAAACACACGCAACTTAAAACATAGACGGTCCCTCATCTCACACCAGTCTATACACACGCGTACAAACGCACCTACAAATGCACTTAAGTCGAGATCTATCGCGCCCTTGTAGCTTTTAGCACACAGGCATGCTAAGCAGCTCACAGCGTAAGACGTTCTGTTGATCTGCAGAAGTGTAAATGGATACACAGCCGAGAGACAGAGAACAGCTCCCCAAAGTCTCTTCTACACAGCTGTGGCTAAAACCATAAAACACATGATCTACTGACTCGAGCCACCGAGAAACTCACCGTCCATAAATTCTGTGCATATGGATATCCTGTTCTCTACAAAAAAGGCACTGAAGAAAGTGATGATATACGGCGAATCACACTGCAATCAAGAGAAGAGACATCAAGGTCATTAAAGAGCATGCAAAAAAATAGTTTCTTTGATAGTAAATGAGCGAACAGATTTGAATGCAAAAGGGCTACAGTGGAGCTAAATCGTACAAAGTTTCTCATGTTCGTCTAACGCTTTAAGATAAGATTAACTTTATCGATCGCAAATTGGGAAATGTTTGCATTGCAGCAGCATAAAAAACAAGTAAAACATTTAAAGAGTAGAAATAAAATGTTTGAAATGTAAAATCTCAAAATAGAAATAATACAACATTAAAAAGTAGAAAATATACAATTTGATCTTGAAGATAAAAAATCTGATTCTAGTCAGTGCGAAAAATCATCAACAGCATCAATTTGAAGTCCATCAGATGTTTACGCTTGGAAAAAAATATAATTTATTTGCATACATATTGCATGATAACAGGGCTAGCAAACCAAACACATCAATATACTGAGTACAGGCCAGTGGATGTTCGCTATTACAGGCTCACCACAACCTAACACACAATGCGTTCATGCTCATTATAAGAGAAAATTGTCCTCACAATGATTGGGCCTCTGCATTTTAGGGGAAACACAAAAAAAACTCCTTATATGCATACTAAGAGTTTCAAAGGAGGTGATCATTAAAGTCACATGCCTAGTCCACGTGTGTCTTGCGTGTGTTTCCGTGTTCCCTAATCCCTGTCTTAAGACCAGAGGCGATATATGTTGCTTCATTAGTAAGTCTTGTGGTTTATTTACAATGTAGATCCGGTTTAGGGTATTTAAAAAAAAAGAACAAGTCAAAACTTACCTTGTAGAGAATTTCTAATTCTGACATGATCTGCTTCTGTAATTCCACCGTGATGTCCAGAGGAATGACCTGTTATAAAACATGGTGGGAAAAAATGTAAATTGTGTTTATGCTTAGGTCACTTTAAAGAGCATTTACGATCATCAACATTGAAGGAGTTCTTACCTTGACAGCTAAAACCCGCTTGCCCAGAACATGGTACGCTCTAGAGATACAAAAATGAAGATGTAAAACTAAATTGTAGTAGGCTGTTTTTCATTTTTCATTTAAATAGGGTCTTTAGTTAATTGTTGTATATTCCAAGTAAATAACTCTGATCATAATATTTCTTTATTAATGTAGGGTCCATTTATACTTCCCATACACGAACATCCCTTGCACCCTGCCCCGCTGTGGTCAATCATTTACAAATGGTTAAGTATTGTAATAATAATGTAGTACACCTGTGGATAACGTTTACATCAAAGGTAATAAAAGACAAAAAGGACGATGCAATAAAAACTCCATAGATCTGCTAGTTGATAAGTCTTATTAGAGTTCAAATTAACATGACTAAATAGCACTCTAATTTCTCTAAGATCCAGTCAGCCCTATCACTCGCTGTTCCAGACAGAGTTTTGAGTTGCAAGTGAAGCAGCGGCCCCAGACTGGCCTCATAATGACTTAATTATCAGACTCCTTATGCCAAACACCGGCTTTAGTTACAGCGCTTGAAGGTTAGTTTACGGCACCAGTGACAATATCTCAGGACCTCTCAACACACAATCCTCAAGGACGAATACTGTCCAACAGCTGTCAGGTGATGGGGATGAGGAGGGGGCCGCGTACGTCACACGGCCCGGTTAGCTTTCGAGAGGGCTTAGTGAATGTGATACCTGGCTACTCAGCTGTCCGTGGGTCTAGCACAGAGAACCGCGTACGGTGCAAGGTGTGATTAATGCGTCTTAGATTAGAGTATCACATTGCTCTTCGGCCAGACACCTTAAAACAGGACAGGGCCTTTAATTAAAGCCATGTATTAGTGCCATGTCAAGTATTTAGAGTTAGAACAAACACTGGGCTTTGGAAGTAGCTTTGCAGTGCTGAATGTGAGCTGTGGTTTACACATCTTTGATAACAGTCTCATTGTTGCTAAGGCGAAAACAACATAAACTGCAGAGATGGTGAAAATAATCAACTAGCTATTACCAAAAGTCTACACAAAAGGCTGAAAGTGGGAAATGTAATATTAAAAGACACACAGTTATTTTTCAGTTTATTTTGCCCATGAGTGTTTTTGATCTTAGGTGTCATCTTCTCTGTTAAAAAGCTCTTTGCACATAAGGCTGACGGCCTTGTTTCCATTTTAATGTCTCGATCTTCCTTTAAGCTACAATCAATATCAGTTAAGCATGAGTGCTGCCTCTTAATTAAGATGAAAATGTTAATTGAGGCAGGATTGCAGGGGTAGACATGTTAAGTACTGGCTGGGCAGGTTGTGTGTGTGAAGCAGCCTGAAAAGAGATTAAAGCAAGTCATCTCCGTGCTGAACAACTTGTATTTCTCAATGAGAAGTCTAGACACGCTGAAAGACAAACCCAGCTCGTGGCAGAATGCATCTAACTACTGCTTTGACACATGAGAAGAGTACGTCGGACACCTTGTGTACAAGTTTGTATGCGTACATTTTTTGTGTATGCACCTTCATGTAAAATATCCCTTCTGTCTGCAATTTACTTTGGCCATAGTAAGATCAAGGCAAACAGACATTAAAGCCATTAATTGAATGTGTCTTAAATATGCTTAACATAGAAATATAAAGAAATATTCCCATAATATAAATTCAAGCACAATAAGCAGGTTTTCTTTCTATATGAATTCAATGTATGTGTAAAATAGAATAGAAGAGTTTCCAAAGTTTTAACAAATACGTGTGATGGGCATGTTTTAGGGCCTGGAGATAAGGTGTGACTACTGCTTGGTTAAAGCTTTATTCTCAGAATGTCCTTGGCCCCCTCAGGGCCGAGCAGCCCTTTATGAGTTACAGTGACAGGCTTATGACAGCGGGAGACATGGGGACAAGGTTACATAGCCACCCCCCACCACTTCCCCTGATCTGACCTCAGTAAACGTGCCCCATTGCCTGGATCTTATTTACACTCCAGCTCGCTCTGTAATAAAAGCTCCATCATGCAGTATTCATAAGGCCCCTCTCCATGTCTCTGAAGTTGGAGGGACTGGCCTTCTGGATCAGGGCTAACGTGATGGTTTACACTGCCACATGGCTGACGGGACACCTTTCTCTCTCCCAGACGCTCTCACCTGATACCGCTATAATAGGTGTCCTAAGTGACACAGGTGAGGCAGAAACCTCACACACATTCACAGACAGACATGTATGTACACACAACTTTACACAAAGTGCTTACTACATATACAGCATCGCAGATCTTAGACTGACAACAGTGAAAGGTCTGTTGTCTTTATATCTTACCACACTAAAAAAGTGAAATACGATATTCTTTAATTCTATGAATGGAACATTAGAACATTTAAGATTGGAAACTGCCAACAATCACACACATCCATACACTGATGGCAGGGGCTGCCACTCAGGGTGTTAATAGGGAGTGGTAATGGGTTCAGTGTCGTGCTAAAGGAAACTTTATGACACTCTGGAAACCGGAAACCTTATGATTACGAGATGACTTCACTACATCCTGAGCTACGTCACCTTCCTGGACAATGCCAGTGTTGGCAAGGACAGTAGAAGCTGCTAAAAGTTACAACTTGCTTAAGCGTACAACAGAAATGTGCGGTGCATTGTAGGTTTTATAATTTACACTAGTAGTGTTTTCATTATTGTTGTCAATTTTCTCCGCTTACATTTTTTTTATAATTTAGCCTTATTGTATGTAGAGCACTCAAAGAGCCGAACAGTCTTCCCATTAATCAAGGTTCAAGGTTTCAAGTTTTTTTTAATTTGTCATACGAACATAGCTACAGTGTAGTTATGACAATAAAAATCTTAGGTCACAGGCTCACTCCAACAGTGCAACACAATAACACAGAAAAATATAGTGCAAGTAAATAGTAAATACAAATATAGATATATAAAACATTTTTCAATTTCTAGTCTTAATATTTTACACCAATAGGTGAAATCTAGGCTGCACTGATGCTTAGTGAAAACTATATCCCACCCAACTGCCTCTAGACACAATCTGAACATATTTGGATACAAGATACGAGGTGACCACCAATTAACCAAAGAGGTTTGGCCGTTCAATATACGGTCTACTCAATGAGGTGGAAAACTAAATCAATGGAGAGAATGGGCTGAGAGAGTGAAGGAACAGCCATGGGTGTCTAAGTAGATGTCACCACATTCACTGTCAGGCAAATGTGCTTGTTTTAATTGCACCATTGGATCCATGAGTCATGAAAATGGCCTGTGTGTCCTTGTTATTGTATTTATAAGCCATGGAGTCAGTTAGATTGCTGGACACGATGGACCTCTGAGAGTGTGTAATAAAAAACAAAGGCCGACATTGATGGATGCTAGGTCAGTGTGTGGCTATGGAGAGCTGAGGTGCTGGTAACATCCAATTGAGTCTAAATGGCTCTGGGTCATAAATGGGCTAAGAGGTTAAAAGGCAGGGGAGCCATTGATGGTGTTTTCACACGTGATAAGCTTAATATAAGCTGGACCAAAGGGTTCAGCGGTTGGTGAGTATGCATACAGTGTTTTGTTTAACAAAAATAGTTTTTTAAATCAGAAAAACAATAATTTAAGCAAACAGCCATTCTAAAACCAGAGTGAATATTAACACATCATGCTATGATTAGTTTAGGCTGCAAACCATTAACATCAGCCCGTCTTGCTACTTCGTCACTATGGAGGGGGACTAGCAACCGTTCACCAAATTCATGACCCTACACATCTTCTAACTTGAAGTTCAAACTTCACCTTGAGCCATACAATAAATACATAAAAACCTTTGTCTTATTGCATCTAAATTGAGCACTTTAAGCAGAACACAATATTTGATGAAGTTGATGTACTGGTTAAGTGGCAGCTAAATAAAGGCAAAGTAATTTACATTACATGTTACTTGTTAGACGCTTTTATCCAAAGCGACTTACATACTCAATACTGTGGGCAATCCCCACAGGAGCAATTTGGGGTGAAGTGTCTTGCCCAGGGACACAACGACATGCTGACTGCCGTGGGGTTTGAACCTGTGCCCCCCCTGATCCGAACACCAACGCACTAGTCCACTGCGCCACACGCCTCCCTAATGTAATTGATATGCCCAATTTGCCCATGATGTTGAATGAATTTTACTTTTCTGTATGGTACTTGATTTGCTACAGGCATCCCCTGACATGACACAATGCAAATGTAGCTATTTAGTGGCAGCTTTATGACTATTTGATTGATTCTGACTTGGTCAAATACCTCAGGAATTACTTTGATGGGTACAATGTTAAACAGGTAGAGTTGCAAAACATACAACCCTAGTAAAAAGTTGAGATGACCTTCAGCTGATGTTTGAAAATTGGATTTCTGTAGTTACATCCAACCAAACAAAAATAATTAACAATTACTAAACAAAAATAAAACTACATAAAACAATGGTTGGGGTCATCCTTAACACATTTCATTCAGCTTACGCACCTGATTGAATAATCACAGCTTCCTATTAAGAACTTTAGGAATATCCCCACATGAAAAAGATTTTAGGAGGACAGCCTGAAAAAGATTGGTCCATTTCCTGAACACTTTTTATCTCAAAAATAATCCAATTTACTTTTGGCAGCAAATATTTGTAAATTGTTATTTACAGAGAAGAGAAGAGGGTTTTATATGCCTTGCTATAATTTAATTGAAATGTTGAAGTGAAAAATCCAGCCAAACTAAATATGAAACTACACAGAGGTCAGCAAATCACCATTATTTAATCAGGTGACTGACCACCTGTCTATTACACATCAAAGGTGAAACCAATTGGACACACAAAATAATTAAAAATAAAGACAGGGATGCAATTAACAGTTATCAACAAATATTTCTAGAAGACAATCTCAAGGCCACCAATTCAATTAACACTTATATCCTCGGGTTCTAATGACCAGTCTTCTTTTATACACGCATAAAGACCCCAAACATAGGCTCATACTGTCCCTTTCTGTTTGATATATAAACTGACTATATTCATTTAAGTTGTTCTTTATCAACATTATAAATGCAAATAAATGCCTGCAAAGTGTAGGGTTACATGCATTAAGTGCAGGTGTGTCTTTAAATTGGACAGGCACAGCTCAGGTTAGCCAGGGCAGATCTGAACTGTGGTCTACAATTACCGAACCTATGTTGCTGTAGTTGCAATTAAATGCATGAGACACTTGGGTTGATGGAGCAGCCGAGCTGTCAGCTGTGCCCTGCTCTTAAAGGGGATCTAATGGCAGGTGATGCTGCTGGATGGAGCTTGGTAATACAGGTTTGCTGACAAGGCCTGAGCGAGGACTCTTTTAAGAATGATTTTACATGGAGACAGAATGTACCTACTTCAAAACATTTGCAGAAAAAGAGGCTTCCCAGAACACGGTTGCTGCTTATTAAGCTACTGCTGACTCAGCAGAGAGGACAGGCAGGCCAGGAAGGATGCAGCTGGATCAGTTTGACATAGCCCAGTTTAAGTGTGGACCTAGCTGTACTCAGTTGTGTGGAGAAAATGAAGACGCTTCTAAACTGGTCAAACTTCTGTAGGTAGACACTGTTGGTAGCAGAGCTCTTATTATATATCAGACACACAAAAAATAACGTTTTGAAGATCCAAAAATTGTGCTTATGAACTTTGATTGATCTCAGATTTTATGCAATTTATAATCTTCAAAATGTAAATGTATATACTGTAAGTGTATAACTTTATGAGAGATACATAGCAGCTTTATTTATTTAATTGATGATTTGTTTAGATTTATACATGTGTTATACCAAGATCAGAGCAGAACCAGCCATCCATTAAGCTTTGCTTTACCTGTGATTTTCCAGCTGACGAATCAAAATGTCAATAAAAAAACGACTTGCACACTAAATAATTAATGTTTTTAGTTTAGATATTAACCGTTTTGAGTATATTCATCACTTTAACAGTATGAACACACCACATACTTGAAACCTGCTGAGAATTAGTGTGCAATATGTATTTTGGGCATGCAATGTGTTCTGGGACATGCTCAAAGGGCTTCATCTTCAGGTTGTCAAAAATTATGTCTGTGTTCCTCTTCTAAATAAGTGAAATATATATTGGTTAAAATGAGCATGAATAAAAACAATTCCAACATAAAAATATCACGGACAAACAGTCCAGGTTTTTTTATCTGTGTTTTCTTTTTTTTTTATCGTCTTCCAACCATAAAATGTTAGCGCCAAAGCGTATGGATTTTTTTGCTGGACTAAATTGACTGAGAAGTTGTTGGGCTTGCAATGTTGGCCTTTCCCACTGCAGTGTAACCATTTTTGGTGCCAAACTGATCAACAATCCTATTCTCCAACAACTATGAGAGATTGGCTCTTAATGGAGCTACCTCAGTCATAAAACCGTGAAAGGGCGTTGGAAAGAAAGGGGGTGAAAATAAAAAAGTGACAGTTTTGTGGATTTACTAGATGAGACATTTACTGGGTTTGCTGGGGACTGTGTGAAACAGACCGCTCTGTCAAGTCAAGGTTAGTCTGAGCAGTGATCAATACTTCAATCTCAATAAAACAGCTCAATAGCTGAGGATTGATGAGAAGTAGAAAACACAAGATGGGGAAAAGAAGGATAGAGGGAGCGCCACAAATGCCAACCTTGTCATAACGTTAGCGGGGCAGTAATACATTTGTCTGGCCGGAGAGGATGGAGCTCTCCTACTGTGGCAGGTAATGTGCGGAGCTACAGACAGATTAAGTCAATTGCTGTCATAGCTTACAATCCCGAATCAATATCATATATGTTTGCAACCTTCAAACCAGAATAAATAAATGAAGGTAAAGACACAAAGCAGCCTGATAGATGTCACACCAAACACTGAAAGATAAATGGACAAATGAAGGAACGAAGGAAGGGTGGGGAACAAAAGAGACCCTTCACAGATCCCTTATTGCAGAGTGATTCGTTTGTCATAAAAACTAAGCAGAAAGCTCTAGAACTGACCACTAATTGAGACATTCTTCCTTAAATGTTGCACTACATAGAGGCTTTGACATCCCTGAGTAAATCATTCAGAATCTCCCCCCCCCCCTCCCTACTTCAGCAGGTATCTCTTCAGTGTCACTATCTGTTAGTGTGCTGTGGCCTTGTAATGTTGGGCCTGAATGTGAGAGTCAGTAACAACTTACTTGTAAACTGTGCCTCCGTTTCCATGGCCCAGCTGTTCTTGGTAGTTGATGTCTTGGGCACTTATCTGCAGGCACAGGTAAACAATAATGGTTCCTACATGTTATAACATGAGAAGACATGCAACCAATGGATAGTAGGTAACTACACAGGTGAGGGAGAGAAGGAGAGAGAGAGAGAGAGAGAGAGAGAGAGAGAGAGAGAGAGAGAGAGAGAGAGAGAGAGAGAGAGAGAGAGAGAGAGAGAGGGAGAATGACATTGTCACATGAGTCTATAAACAAGACAAGCATTCAGGTCACTACAAGTTCAGCGACAGAAGGAGAGAACAGAGGGACAGAAGGAGGAGAAGAGCAGATCAATACAACATTTACTGCCCAATTTATAAAAAGACATTGTGCTTTGGTGAGTGGGGGAGTAACTGATGTAGAGTTTGATGATGATTTGTTTGCAGTCGTCCTTCCACTCTACTGTGATTTGAAGTGTCAGACGCGATCTTATAAAAATATTACTATGATATAAAACTGACATTCCTTATCATTTAAGATATTTTATGTCTTATGAATAAAACAGGAAATTCCTAATTGAAAAAATGCTTGTGTTTGCTGACAATCTACACATTGACAAAATAAGTTATTTAAAATGTAATATTTGCATCCAAAATTGCCAGAATTCATAATGTCTGGTAAATAAGTTTGTAATTGATTATTTCCCCAGACCATGCTGAATTGAAACAATTCATTTGACATTTGTATGAACCATGTGTGTTGTTAATTCAATGTGGGGCTACCAAAAGTAATTTTAGTAACACTTTATATTAAGGTACACAAATTAACCATCAACTAGTTGTTAATTAGCATGCATATTAGCAGTATATTGGCTCTTTATTAGTCATTATAAAACACTTATTAATGCCTTATTCTACATGACCATATTCTACAAGTAATAAGCCATTAGTTGAGAGTTTATCCTCAATAACCCTTAATATTAATATTCTCTGCTCAATATGGGCCTTCAAGAATCAACGTTGAGCCAATATACTGCTAATATGCATGTTAATTAACAACTAGTTGATGGTTAATTTGTGTACCTTAATATAAAGTGTTACCGTAGATAGTTGTAATTCAAAATACGCAGAAGACAGCCACTGTGGTATTGTATCACTGTGAATCTGAACAGCCTCAGAACACTGGCACTTAACAAATATGATCTATTCCTATGTAACAAGACATGAAACTATAAGTGTTAATTGTTTCTAAATAACTAAAAATGTGGTATTTATATCTAAGAATATGTTTTCGGGTATTGACAGTTCAACTACCAATAGCAAGGTGATATTGACCTGTATGTTTCATATTTGCACATTTATATTTTTGTAAAATTTGTACTGAAGGTTAGACAGGAAACCGGGAAGTAGGAGAAAGTGAACTGAATAGCATGTCAGTATAGACTACTACTAATTTTCCTTATGCAACCTGAAGAGTAAAAGGGTCAAGTCCGTCAGGAAGCAATGACTGTAACCCCTAGATTCCACCGGGTCCGTCTGGCAGCGTTACAGCTGCGCCACGGCGTTCACAGCAATCGCGGCCACTCTAGTCACGCAGGGTCCACACGGCAGCGTGCGTTGAAGCTTGCCGTCGGGCGTGTCTGAAGCTCGACCAACAACCAATCGCATTAATCTCCCGCCCCAGACACACAAGCACGCGGTTTGATTGGCTAGAGCTTGTACTGGCATATGATTTGATTGGCTGACGCTTCCGTCGAAGCTTGAAAAGTTGAACTTTTCTGAACTTTTGAAGCAAGCAACGGAGGCAAAGCGAAGCGACGGAACCACAATGCAGTTCGGCAAAGCGTAACGTCACCCCATTCAAAGTGAATGGGAAGCTGCATTGAAGCTTCAAAGCACGCCGCCGTGTGGACGGGCCGTCACAGTACGTCCACATGGCAGCGTGCGTTGAAGCTTGCCGGTGGGCGTGTCTGGAGCGCGACCAACAACCAATCACATTAATCTCCCGCCCCAGAGACATTTGGAGATGTTTAAACACAATGAGAAAAATGCGTTAGCATTCGCGGTAGCGTTAGCATAAATGCTAGCGTTAGCCATAAATGCTAGTGTTAGCCATACATGCTAGCGTTAGCCATACATGCTAGCGTTAGCCATACATGCTAGCGTTAGCCATACATGCTAGCGTTAGCCATACTAGCCTGTATACATGCTTATTGCACCGCTAGCATTAGGTATATTTACCTTGTTTACACTTAGCGGTCCTATGTGTTAATCTGTGTATGTTACACTTGCATGTATGAGATCATTAAGTGCCTTGTAACTTCTTTTTTTATAGTTTCACTCCGTTTGAATGTCAGTGGACTGCAAATAAGTCAATAAAGGAGCATGGCTGCTCATTCCCTGGCCCTCAAAAGAGTTTGGCTGGCTGTTTAATCTATGTTCACACTGAGACAGTAAAACATAGAGAGAACAGTACACCTATTGTGTAAGTACATACAAGCAGGTCACACAGTATGATCACAAATAAAATCTGTTAAATATCTGTTTTTATTAAAAAGTACAGGCTACATGTGTTCTCAGCCTTAGAGAAACGTGACATGTTTTGGTACATGTGTCTGAACCTCTCTTTAGTGGTTCATTAATAAAACAGATATTTCAACGTGAGCCTACTTTGTTCATGTACTGTTGAGGTTAATTTCAGTAGTTGTGTGCTATAATGTATTTGCAAAGTGTGAAGAGGAGGCAACTTTAGAATAGGGAACCTGTTCAGGTCAAATAGAGTCAAACTACTAGCTTATTGGTTATGAACAAGACTTCACTTTAAAATAGGGAACATGTTCTTAGATATAAATACCTAATTTTGAGTTATTTAGACACAATTAACACTTATAGTTTCATGTCTTGTTCATATTTGTTAAGTGTTATTATGGGAGAATCACTATTCTTGTGGTACTACTGCCTTATTCGGCCCATATTGAGCAGAGCATATTAAGACCAAAACTCATGTACAACAACTTCCTTACTTGCAATAAATAAGCACTAATTAGAGGGTTATTGAGGAAAAACTCAACTAATGGCTTATTACTTGTAGAATATGGTCATGTAGAATAAGGCACTAATAAGTGTGTTATGACTAATAAAAAGCCGATATACTGCTAATATGCATGTTAATTAACAACTAGTTGATGATTCATTTGTGTACCTTAATATAAAGTGTTACCGTAATTTTGTATAGACATAAAGAGGAAATCATCATAACATAATTACATATATGTGAGCAATGCATGCATGGACACAACAAACACACAGTCCCCCAGATGTAATTAATACCATGGCAAAAGAAGGGAGTAAAGGGAATGAGAAGAGATGGATGAAGGGATGGAGGAGAGGGGAGAGAACAGCTCTATTAGCTCCCTGTGTAACAGCAGAAACCTGAGAGGTCGCTGGCCTAATTGTCTCTCTGATAGGGTAGTAGTGTGTGCGTGTGTGTGCGTGTGTGTGCGTGTGCGTGTGTGTTTTGTTTTAAAAGAGAGACATAACTGTTACAGAGCTGATCCTGGAAACTCAAAGACCCCGTGCTCCTATTATGTATGCCATGGTTACGAGACAATACCCAAATACACACTCTTTATTACGTGCCCAGTCAGCTTCACCAAAATCAAGAGAGAAGCCAAACCACTAGTGAGAAATGTGTTTGAAGTCAGTGGAAACTAGGTGTGAGAGCAGGAGCAATGAGACAACAGCTGCAGTGCAACGGTCAGAGCATCCAGTCAATCCCCAAAATAAACACATTTTGCAGACCCTATCCCTCCGTAGTCTTTCAAGTAGGAGAATAAATGCCAGCGTTCTCCTCCGGTTTACAGGCACTGTGTAAATTATATATCGAATAATGATGATGAATGCATTTTTTTACCACTAAAATACAGCAACACATCTTTGATTCATGTAGTTTATAACTGGACTATTACAATTATTATTAACTTTGTCTGTGTAAAGTAGCCTGTCCAGGAAATATGCCCAAATCAACAAAAACTGCGAGCCGGCACGCAAGACGCTCCGCTTCTGAAACTCGCCCGGTTGGGTATGACGCTGGAGGAGGTCGGACCAAAACCGCGGCGCAGACGGATCCGGTGGAATCCCGGGGTAAGTGTAGCCTTAAACTTACACTGTAAGGATTAGTAACATGTATTGTGTTTATGTGATGACATTTGGAGAGGTTTAAACACAATGAGAAAATGCGTTAGCATTGGCGCTAGCATTCGCGCTAGAATTAGTATACATGCTAGCGTTAGCCATACTAGCCTGTATACATGCTTATTGCACAGCTAGCATTAGCTATATTTACCTTGTTTACACTTAGCGGTCCTATGTGTTAATCTGTGTATGTTACACTTGCATGTATGAGATCATTAAGTGCCTTGTAACTTCTTTTTTTATAGTTTCACTCCGTTTGAATGTCAGTGGACTGCAAATAAGTCAATAAAGGAGCATGGCTGCTCATTCCCTGGCCCTCAAAAGAGTTTGGCTGGCTGTTTAATCTATGTTCACACTGAGACAGTAAAACATAGAGAGAACAGTACACCTATTGTGTAAGTACATACAAGCAGGTCACACAGTATGATCACAAATAAAATCTGTTAAAAATCTGTTTTTATTAAAAAGTACAGGCTACATGTGTTCTCAGCCTTAGAGAAACGTGACGTGTTTTGGTATGTGTCTGAACCTCTCTTTAATGGTTCATTAATAAAACAGATATTTCAACGTGTGCCTACTTTGTTCATGTACTGTTGAGGTTAATTTCAGTAGTTGTGTGCTATAATGTATTTGCAAAGTGTGAAGAGGAGGCAACTTTAGAATAGGGAACCTGTTCAGGTCAAATATGGCGCTTTTCCACTGCAGGGCCTCGCTCGGCTTAGCACGGTATGGCTAGGCCTCGTTAGGCCTTGTTAGGCCAGGCTCACTTTATGCTGCGTTTCCATTACAGTTTAGGAACTGGGGCAGTAACTATAGTAATGCAGTGTAGGCGGAGGCGTGACGTCATCTTCAATGCGAACCACAAAACCAACATCAGCCGTTAGCTGTTAGCACTCAGAGCTCACAGCTCCTCATATCTGTTCAGTAACTAGACAAAAGTTAAAGTGGACCTATCATGCTATATTTGAATAATATATTGTAGGGCCATACATAAGGTATATTTATACGTTTTCTTTTTCAAAATACCAAACAGATCATGCATTTTAGTCATGCCTCATTTCTCTCTATTTCGCTGTCCTCCACCCTGTCTTTGCATGCGCTGCAGCTGACCACGCCCCCCTGCAAAGGAGGGGGCCGAGTTACGAGCTTCGTGTTACCATGCTGTTACCATGCCACGGCAACCTCTCATTCCCCTGATAGGTCAGCTCCGCCGTCCTGACGTCAGAGGAATGTTCAAATCTGGATCAGTCTGTATCAGATCCGTTGCAGCCCCGTTTTTAGAGATTTGGGTATGGAGGAAAAGAGAGAGGGTTGTGTTTTCTGACACTTGGTGAGTTCCCTGGAACACCGGGGACACATATTCATGTATAAAAGACGTACAAAACGGCATTTTGCATGATAGGTCCCCTTTAAACAAGTACAAACCACAGACTGTCTGTGTCATGGCGAATACAGTCGCTGCTTTATTTATGTCTGTATAGGCCATTGTTGTGAGTGTGGACGGTCGGAGCATATACAACGTTAGCTTAGCCAATCTCCATTCAGAAAACACGCATTTTAAAAGGTTTTTCGCCTGCCGTCTGTCTGCAGACTTGTCAAAACATTAATTCATGGTTTTTACTAACCGGTATCAGTATGTTGTTACTTCGGCATAATTTTGAAACGTGTATTACAATTAAATCACGGTAAAATATGTTCATTTTGTTGTAGTTGCCAGCGATTCTCTCACTAGTTTAGCATACTCAGCCCGGTTGTTAGCCCGGAAAGAACTTCGATTTTGAGAGCCAGAAAAACTGTGAAAAAGTACCCGCTAGCCGGAACTACGCCTAGTGGTAACGCAACCAAAAACGGGCCGGGCACGGCACGCTTTAACCGCGCTGTAGTGGAAATGCGCCATTAGAGTCAAACTACTAGCTTATTGGTTATGAACAAGACTTCACTTTAAAATAGGGAACATGTTCTTAGATATAAATACCTAATTTTGAGTTATTTAGACACAATTAACACTTATAGTTTCATGTCTTGTTCATATTTGTTAAGTGTTATTATGGGAGAATCACTATTCTTATGGTACTACTGCCTTATTCGGCCCATATTGAGCAGAGCATATTAAGACCAAAACTCATGTACAACAACTTCCTTACTTGCAATAAATAAGCACTAATTAGAGGGTTATTGAGGAAAAACTCAACTAATGGCTTATTACTTGTAGAATATGGTCATGTAGAATAAGGCATTAATAAGTGTGTTATAATGACTAATAAAGAGCCAATATACTGCTAATATGCATGTTAATTAACAACTAGTTGATGGTTAATTTGTGTACCTTAATATAAAGTGTTACCGTAATTTTGTATAGACATAAAGAGGAAAGCATCATAACATAATTACATACATGTGAGCAATGCATGCATGGACACAACAAACACACAGTCCCCCAGATGTAATTAATACCATGGCAAAAGAAGGGAGTAAAGGGAATGAGAAGAGATGGATGAAGGGATGGAGGAGAGGGGAGAGAACAGCTCTATTAGCTCCCTGTGTAACAGCAGAAACCTGAGAGGTCGCTGGCCTAATTGTCTCTCTGATAGGGTAGTAGTGTGTGTGTGTGTGTGTGTGTGTGTGTTTTGTTTTAAAAGAGAGACACATAACTGTTACAGAGCTGATCCTGGAAACTCAAAGACCCCGTGCTCCTATTATGTATGCCATGGTTACGAGACAATACCCAAATACACACTCTTTATTACGTGCCCACAGTCAGCTTCACCAAAATTAAGAGAGGAGCCAAACCACTAGTGAGAAATGTGTTTGAAGTCAGTGGAAACTAGGTGTGAGAGCAGGAGCAATGAGACAACGGCTGTGAAATTCTACCTAAACCCAGAACACCGGCTCACCTGCCCATTTGTCAGGATCCTCTTCAGCTCTGCAGATGATTTTTTTAAGCTGCAGGAAGGAACACAGCACAGTTGACACAAACATTCTCAGACATCTTTCTACTGATCTGTCAACCCACGGACTGAAGTGTATTCCAGGCGGTGTAACATGCTCCCTATGCCCCAGCAAGCTCACCTGTTGTTGGCCATGGAGTCCGGGACAGCTTGAGTGCAGTCATTTGCTGGGTTAGGTCTTGTATTAACCTGAAGGTGCAAAAACACAAAAATGAAAGAACACAAACACACACAGAGACACACACTCTGGTCAAGGCCAGAAGACAGGCAGAGAGAGACAGACATATGGCCAGACCCCCTAATGAACAAGAACAAAACACAAGCTCTCTGTTCAGCCTGGAGGTTAATTGGCTTTCGTAGGAGAGAAGGGAGGCAGGCAAGGAAGAAGGAAGGAGGTGTCCGCATAAAGGAGGGGAAAGGAGGACAGACAGCAAGGAGGACAGACAGCAAGGGGCAAAGGGAGGAAAGGAGATGAAAGGAGATGAAAGTGGAAATATATTTGTATAAAAGTACAAAAATGTAGTTATTTGGACAAAAGCTGTGAAAAATGAAGGTGTTTCTTTTGTTTTGTTTGGGGCATTATTTCCTTAATTGGACAGATGACAACATAGAGGAAGACTGGAAACGAGGAAGAGAGAGAGAGAAAGAAAGAGGAGTATGATATACAACAAAGGTCCCAAGGTGGAATCGAACCAGCGTTGTGCACTGTAACCATTTGAAGACTCAGACGTTACAAAAATTAAGTCAAGACACATTGTTTTGTTGTGCTTAACAGGGGACATTGGTCTTTACATTGATTTATCTTAATCTTATGTTCACGCCAAAAACCCTTTGTACTCAACCCAGATATCATACACTAAAGACCCTGTAAAGGGTGTACTAAAAATAACTCATGTAATTGAGGTCAAAGGGCTGCTGTGTTGGGTCCACTAAAGCACAGGGATTGTCTCTTTAATTAGTGCCCAGGAAGACCTAATTCAAACAGCTCACAAGACTCCCCTCAGCCAATTACTTTTATATTAAAACGGGAGAAAAGAGGGGAAAGATTACCAAAGCATTTAAGGTTTTTGGAAAACATCATCTTATCAACACAGACCCTTGACCTTAACAAAACCTGACACAGTTCAGTAGTTGTTTCCAAAGCTCCTCAGAGGATACATTAAATAAAGCACTCTCGGTATTTGGAAAAGGGGGGGTGATAATATTATTGAAATGAAGATGGATATAATATGGATCATCTGGAGAGATGGAGGCGGTGTCAAGTCATTTAACCCATGGTAATTAGCATGAGGTTCAATAGCAACATATGCCCAACATAAAAGGGGAAGTTCTGTGGAAGGCCATTTGTGAATGGCAGAAGGGGGGCGTTGTAATGACAATTTCATGGTTGAACAATAACATCTTCTTATCGACTTAGTTTTTGCTCTAACCAAGGCTGATGTTCTTCCTATCATAGGGAATGAGACTAACATAATACTCTGGAGGGGGATTAAAAAAATCCCACCTCGCATTTAAATGTCTATCCCGCCAGAAGAAGCAAGAATACAAGGTGAGAAGAGAAGGAGAGGAGAGGAGAGAAGGAGACGAACCCCATACATAAACATAGACAAGGGGAGCAAGAGAATGAGTGAAAGAAAAGGAGAGCCTTGACTTCAATTGACATTTCAATAAGTGGAACACAGTGTTACCAATCCATTTGCCTCAACTCCCCTCCCTCCCCTGCCTCAGTTCTCGGTGTAAGGCAGCTGAAACAATTATTGAGATAGGTACCTTCAGGCCATGTATGTTCCGGTTCCCTGGAGTCTTGCCGGCTGAAACAGTAATTGACTAGATTGTAGAACACATCACTGGGCCATTTACAAATGTGCTGAAAGGGAATCAGTTCTTTGTAAAGAAAAGGAATGATGAAATGAAATGAGGGTTATTCTGAAATTAGTTGTGATTGAGAAGTTGGGCTCTTGAGACAGCTGGTGCTGGGTAGGATGGAGAAATCAGAATCACACAGTGAGAGAAGAGAAAGAGAGTAAAGGGAGACACTAAACGCTGCCCTTGGGGTCTGTTAAATATCATATACAGTATGACTTAAAGTGGTGTTAAAAACTATATGAAAATATAGAAAAGGACTGTTAAGAAAATAAACTATCAGTGCCAGACATTTGGGGAAGGGTTAGCCTGAACACAAGCTTGCAGTTTCAATGACCTTGAAGCAAAAATAAATGTAGATTTACAAATGACTGTCAATAAAATAACAGAAGGAGCCACTGAAATGTAAATGTTTTCCAGAGGCTGCATTACTTACCTAAAGTCATTAACTGCTTATATTATCCAACATAATCACAAGTGAATTACCTACATTTTGGTGTAATAGTTTCGGACCAGGTACATGCGAGTATTTTTCTATGTTTTAATATTACTTGTGATTGCTTGTCAACACATTCATTGCAATGTTGTATAGAGACTGTGAGCATCACCAATCCATGACAAACTGTAACATGTCACCAGGTACCTCGTGGAAAAATCTGTAGAGGGTCCGGCAGCAGTCCATTCATGCGTTGTTCATTCATTGTGTTGTAGTACTAAAGAGAAAGTAACAAACAGTGGAGAGCGTTACTGGTTTTGAGTCATTATCACACATACTGTAGACCTTTTGTTTCATTAATAAAGGATCACTTAAAAAGAAATAAATGAAGATAAACCTTGATAAATGTGTGATGTTGACTATGCACTGCATTGCCACGTTTTAGAATACCACACATAGAAAAATGTATCTAAATGACGAGAGGATTATTCCACTGTGTTCCCAAAAATGTGAGCATGCTGTGCTGAAATCTGTTGCCGATGAGGACCAATGCCCTGTGGGCTTGTTCTGGAGGAGTGTAGCATTAACCCTTTTCTCCTCCAGGTCAACAGCTCACCAAACACTCATATCCTACAGGACTAACATGTGCACACACACAACACACACACACACAACACACACACACTCTGGAGCCTCTCAGATGCTTGCCAAGGCAATGCAATAATTGATGTTTCAGTTAACCAAACCATCTGTTAAACTGGGAGTGTGGGAGTATTTCCGAGTGTGTGTTGTTTTTGTCCTTATCTTTTTGAGGCTTGAAACCAACAAGACTTTATTTTAGACACACTTTAGAAGATGTATTTGTGAAGTCCACACGTACATGTTTTTGTTTACAATCCATTATGAACCACTAAGTCACCACTGCGATATGTAAATGTGCTCCCTCATTGTGGGGGGAGGAAGGGAGGGAGGGAGGGAGGACGATGGGACCGGCATGGATGGGAAAGGATCAGAATGGCTACCCAAGTGGCACAGCTGTTATTAAAAGGCCTATTTATCACTGTCAGATCCCTCCTCGCTCCTAGCCCTCTGCTTTCGCCCTCCAGCGTTTTCACTAGGCCACATCTGAACAATGGGCCTAATACCAAAAAACATGTTGTGTGTTGAGGTTGCAGAGGAGAGGGGGGGGGGGGGGGGGTCGGGCTTCACGTACCTTTAATTTTCCGCTCAGCTAGCTTATTGATTAAGGCTGCAATTACCACCTAATCTGTAGTAGGTGTGTTATTAAAAGACATTCGCCATTGTTGGCCAATAACTAAACAGTGTCCGATCCCAAATACCATCGCTCAGCCTTAAGGGACAAGTGGGAGAGCGGGAGCAGAGAGTGGGTCTCATCATCATTAGCAGACTAAGGGGAAAAGGGAGTGAGAATGGAGGAATTAGAGTCCCTACCTCCAGGGGGAGCTGAGCGAGGAAGGGATGAGGTTACATGTTTTCTTTAGCACCTGACACAGGCCAGTCTTTAACTTTGAACAGGGGCGTCTGTCTTTCAAGGTGTCGAACAATGATTAGAGATGCCTGGAAGACTTGAGAGTCTCACAGGAACATGTAGCAATCAATGTTCTCAGTGATGGGGGATACTTTTCACAATAAATGCCCTCTGCCGACTGGTGTTAATTAAGTTCTGAATTTGAGCATTAATTTTGCTCTGCAACAAGGAGCATGAATTTTTCGCAAGGCTATGTTTAAGCAGAGGTCGTGAATGAAATAAAAAAGAACACTGTTGGTATATTTAAAAATCTGGGTAGAAATGTTGTAATGGATTATCACAAAAACATACACAGAAAATAATGCACACACAAGGCAACCATGAGAGACTAATGAAATGTCCCACCTTTCACCTTACAAGCAGGTTTCTTTTAATTCCTTTTAATTTCACATAATGGCTGTCTGCTCACCTGGAATTAACAACACTGAGGAAAATATCCACTTGGGTCTCTACGGAGGCCAAATGGCAAACACAGCAACAACCACATCATGAAAAAATCCTCAGAAAACAAATGCAAATGACTGCTGAATGACTGCCCTTGCATAAGAGATTTAAAACTACTCGGCTAGTGTAAATTATATTTTAGTGAGCCCAGTATTTTCCAGGTGATCAGCAGCTTTTTTTGCACTTGCCTGTCCCATGAGGAGCAGAAAGCTATTAAACGGCTCTTGGATTTGTTTGCCAGAAATTCATGTGGCTTTTTAAAATCTGTGGACAAAGCAGTGCAGAGTTTTGGATACTCAATAGCTGTAATGCGGGTCAGGGTCCTAAATTAATATTTTAATACAAAATATTTTAACCAAATAAATGATAACGCACACAAAAATGTGCCCAACCGAGACACTAAAACTATATATATAGCTCATAGTTGTATTGCAAATTCCTTTTCCTGCCATTTAAAAATGCACCTTTGAGTGGCTATTGCTGATATTGGATATACCGCATCATGGATCAAATTAGTATTAAAGTACCACAGTCGTAAATAATGCATTCATACATCTCCTGGAAGAAAAAACAACGCCTTACAAGGATAATTTTACCTCCAAGTAGGATAGTTGAATGAAGATTAAGATGGAATATTTGCATGAAATGCTAAATATGATTGCGGCAATACCAAAACATCCAGGACAGGAAACCAGTGAAACATTATTGGTACATGAATACTGCGATTTCCTAGAAAGGTACTTGAACAAGACACAAAGCACAGCAAGGCGAAAGAACCTCAAAACTTGTGACCCAGATTTGTGAATAAATAAGCTGTCTGAGGTCAATACATTTTTTCATACCGGTTTTTTTCAACGCTCATTGGCACCACAGCTGTCTCTTTTTGCCTAATAACCCTGCTACCCTATGCTACTTAATGATTAAAAAGCAACCACAAGTGAGTGCATGGAAAAATGGACAAAAAACAAGGAGTATAAATTGTGCCTGTGGCTCGCGCAGCATCATTGTGAGCTGATGGGGGGTAAAAGACATCCACAGATGAAAGTAGATTTTGAACAATTCTGCAGCCCAGGGGGCCTCGCTCTTTAATGAGGCAAAACTTTAAGTACTGAATAATAAATAATAAAAATTGACAGTTCATTTAGCTTTCAGTGTACCTCGTAGAAAAACCCATTACACGCCATTACTCTTACTGTCCGTGGCATGAACAGTAAGTATTGTGGAATATGAAAATGCACAGCACACGGTGGGGGAATTGGTAGTGAAAGTGTGTGTATGTGTGCTTTGGTTGCTCAAGACTACAAATTAGCACTTTTTTTTTTTTGACTTGGTTTACACACACAGATGAGGCATCAGAGTCTTCATGTTGTTGAGTTGCAGACTTTGACCTTGAATGGTTAATGTTAGGATAGGTCATAGGGCAGCCACTTGCCTGAGTTTTTGCAAAGCTCTTGACCTGACCTATACTTTGATGGGCACATTCTAGCATCTACGCTGCGTCTACTATTTCCTACATGAAACTGCTCAAAACAAGGTCTGTGGTTTATTTTCTGGAAAAATAAATTGCTGAGTTTTTATTTATGAATTTGTATGGACCTTCGAGCACCACAAGTTGAGTGCCATCTAGTTCTACTATAGTGAGGAGAAGGCAGTTTTCTTTACAGTCAGTTTCTCAAACACCTTGCATCTCAAAACAAAACAAAAACATTGATTAAAAGCTCTACAGGTATATGTATATTTGTTTTTAGGCAGAACTGTCCCTTTAAACCACCAGTTGTGCCAACGTTTTGAGTTGTCCATCTCAAAGATTTGTTTCCAAATGAAAAGAAAGTAAGTGGCTCTCATTGTTTTCCACAAAGCACTCAGACAGGACTGTTAAAACAATGTCCTAGTAAGCTTACCAGTCAGGTCAACTTCATCTTATTTTTATAAACCAAAATAACACATTAGACTTAGAAAGGCTTACAATCTGTACAACATAAACATTATATTCTTAGACACTTTAATTGTATTGGAAATGCTGCACAGAAAAAAAGAGTTCAGACGTGCACTGGATGTTGTATCTACATTAAATACAGAAATGGCAACAGTGACATATGACCTTAACATCAGTTTTGATCAAAATGATATTCTACTGCTCATAGAAATTGGCAAAAACACATGTTGAAACAAATATAAGTAATGAACTCATTATATACTTACATACGACAACATGGCTTTGAGTTCTTCATCACTTCTTACGGTGATTCTGTCCCCCACCTCGTCTTCATCTAGAAAACAAATAAGCATATTTTTTAAACATCAAAATATTAGTTAAAGGTGGGGTAGGTAATTCACTTCAGAACACTTTTTGTTATATTCCATGGAATGCTCTTAACATCCCAATAGCAATGAATATATGAAATGCTTACATAAAATAAATTAATCTGTGGAAGCCGTGGCGCTGTAAAAAGCACGACCAATTATTTTAGCCGGGCCGGCTAAAATAACTGGATGGCCTACCTGCCTGTCAGCCTTCCATCTCACAAACTTATCTCGTGCACAAACTTATCTCGTGCTCTCATTGGTCATGTGCGCGTTCGTGTGTGTTGGAGGAGGGGCTCTGTAAGGAAGTCTGAAGGAAGGGGCTGATTTTTTTCAGCTGCGTACTTTCAAATTCTAGCGCACTTGAGCTGGTTTCTCCATTCTTACCTACCCTACCTTTAAATAAATAATAAAAACATAAACAGTGTACAATAGCAAATATTGTTTTTGACACAAAATTAAACTCATTTTATATCAATAGTACTTAACAGGTTAGCTTTTATACAAAATATTTGAGGCAACGCATTCCATATTATTAAGACAGTTAACCGTGTGTGCATGATAAAAGTCGTCTTTACACACTCATATTGAAACTCATCAGTTTGAGGAACTAAAAAAGAGAAAAGAAGCAATATGGTTGCAACATTTTAGTACTTACAAAAGGGAAACGATAGTTTATTTATTTTTTACAAGACATAAGTGATAACTTTTATTTTCCCAAAAAACCTTCATGACATGCAATGTGCATTTTACAGTTTTATGAGCGAAACAGTCGCCGCTGTATGCCATATAAAAGACAAAGAAAGGATTAGCAGATTTGGTAACTTTTTATAATTCTTACAGAAATGAGAAACACATTTATGTTACTTTTGTCGGCATCTCATAATATGAGGTTAACTCCAAAGCAAAGCAACATCTACAGTATGCTCACCTGTTAGATCCTCATACTTGATCATAACAAACACTAAAACTGACTATACGCATATAATTAACGTTGTAAAAGGAGTACTTTTCTCTGTCAAAACTGCACAGAAAAATAACTTAATAAATATAACGACATGGATAGAAAGAGATACTTGCATTCAAAGGCTGTTACAGTGGCTTCAGGCATGACATCTCTGATTGCAACCTGAAAATGTTTGGTAGAGTAAATTAAAACCAGAAGAAATATAACACATGAAATAATTATATTAACAGCAGAGCTGGAAGAAGTACTGAGATCGTGTACTTAAGTAAAAGTAGAATAACCAGTGTAGAAATACTTTGTTACATTTAAAAGTCCTGCATTCAAAATGTTACTCAAATTAAATTATGCAGATTGGTCCATTTCAGAATAATATATATGATATGTTATGATAATAATTATTGATCATTAAAGTGTTATCAAAGCTGGTAAAGGTGCAGCTAGTTGTAATGACTTTGTCTACTGCAGGGTAGCTTGTGAATTTACTCCAGGTGGAACTAAATTATTATTTAAGTGTTGATTAATTTCACATCATTAATCCAAATCTGTAAAGTAACTAAAGGTACAAAATAAATGTTGTGGAGTAAAAGTGCAAAGTAGCATCAAATGGAAATGCTCAAGTAAAGTACAAGTATCTCAACATCGTACTTAAGTTCAGTACTTGAGTAAATGTACTCAGTTACTTCTCACCTCTGATCAACAGGTAACTTTGAGCATGTTTAGTGCGTCTTAGTTTGCCTGAGACCAGTGATGGAAATACACTAAGTACATTTACTCAAGTATTGTACCTACGTATTTTTTTTGACATATTTGTACTTTAATTTCCATTTAATGCCACTTTCTACTTCTAATCCACTACATTACAGGAGCAAATAGCGTACTTTTATTTCAACACTGACATTAAAAACATGTAAAAACACATGATATATATTGATGTTTACATTTGGTCTACATTGACAAACTACACGAAAATACTATTACATCAATAAAAACAGGATTAAATCATAGCCATAATACTATAATAGTGTGAAAAGAGTCATTGTGAATCACAAGTACTTTTTACTTTTGATACTTGAAGTACATGTAGCTAATAATACTTATGTACTTTATATTAGTCTGAAAATATCCACTTTGCAGAATGATTACTTTTACCCTTTTACTTGTAGTGAATTTGTAATGCCAATACTTTTGTACTTTTACTGAAGTACAAAAGTCAGGACTTTTACACATAGTGGGAGTATTTAAGACTAAAGTATTTGTACTTTTACTAAAGTGAAGGATCTGAGTACATCTTCCAATACAGAAACAGTGTGACCATGTAACTGTACAGCTGTTTCTGACTGTGAACAGCTAACACTAAATGACAGCTAGCTAGCTGTTAGCATGTTGAACACTCACCAGTAAGTCATTGAAGTTCAGAAGAGATGGACAGTCAACGGCCGAGTCCATATCCCCTGCCGGCGTTTTTATACGGATCACTATTCCCTCGGTGTCCATTGCGCAGAGGTTATTTAAATCGAGGATGAGCATAAAGAAGGAACATTAAGCCTCATGATAACACTTGACTAGCTAACAAGCTAATTTCCTGCATTGGTTTGCTAACGACACATGCTAGCATCCTGCTCAGTCCAGACACTTTTTTCAAGTGATGCGAAGATTTAAACACGCTAACAGTTCACGGTCAGGTCATAACAGCGTAACATATTCAGCTTCTGATGTGAATATGTGTTGGCCTGCTCTCTGAGGCGAAGTGTTACACTAGATATTTAGCCATGAAGCTAGTTTTGAGGAAAACATAACTGCTCCAACAGCGTTTCCGAATCAACATCCGCTCAGGGAGTTTCAAAATAAAAGACCACTCATTGCTGTACTGAATTCAGTTTGAAAGCAAGTTTTTTGTTCTTTCCCCGATTATTTCCATTATATGCTACTTTTACTCTGTTTATTTTTTACTAGGTAGATATGGTACTTTTAACTTCACTACATTTAAATAAAACCAATGAAATGCAGTGAACATCACTGATTCAGTACTACTGTATAATACTAGTATACTTAAAATACATAGTAGGCCCTACTTACAATTGGCTCTATGTTGAAGAACTACAACCACAAAAAGGCTCTTACATGTGCTTGTTTGTAAAATACACAAGCCCAGATAAGGAAGGCTGTCGTGCCAACTTGACCAACAGAGATAGTGTTCTTTCAAATTTGCTTTAAAAAAATCTAAATGTCAAATATTTACACATTATGAAACCGACCTTTAAGTTCGTAAAATTATGAACTAATTGACAGTCCGTGCTCCTGCCATTCCTACAAAAGAAAACATTTAAAAGCTTTCCAATTGTAGAACAGTTTTAATATTGCTTTTCAGGACAACTGTTTTATGCCTGACTTTGTTTATCCAACAACCAATATGGTAAAAAGATTAAACAACCAACTTGACTAACAACAGTCTAATGTTTAATTGAACTTTGTACAGTGGATATTTCTTTTTTTATATATTTTATGTGTTATTGTAGTCATTATTTACTACTGACAAACCAAGATCCTATATATACTGTACATGTGATTTGGAGACTGGAAAGATTTGCAAAGAAAAGTGAATGAAGGCATCACTGGGATACACACCATGTACAACTAAACTGAAAATATTGAATGCTCCAATAAAATAAATGATTGTCACCTTGGACTGATTTAATGTGATCAAGTTTATTAACAGAGTGCAATTTTAAGCATACAATAGCTTTCAGTAGGTATGGGTTGGTATCTGATGCGTATATTCTTTTCATAAGTGACCTTAGATCCCTCTTGTAAAGTTTTTGAATAATGAATGAATAGTCTTCACTTTCACAGAAACTCAAAGCTGTAAAGATGAACAATTGATGAGGCCCCTCAACCGTATCGACAACACACCTGAGCTAAACTCATTTTAAAAAGTAAAAGGAGTACAGAGCAGCACAACGACCATGCCTTTTCAAGTATTCCGAAAAGGTTTTTACCTCTTTCACTTTAAATTAACAGAGCATTGGTATTTAAATGTTTCCACTAGGCATGAGTCATTAGTGTATAATTGAATGTAAAACAAAGGGGCACTTAAAACAGTTGTTGATTAGGGCCTTATGATTGAGGAGCCGCATCAGCCTCCCTGCTCGTTCATCGAAGAACTCTGATTGCAGTTTCAAGAACAAGACATTGATCCCTGCGCAACATGAAGTCTCTTTTTCTGTTAATTTACAGCTCTCTGCCCACAGAGCTGACACTCAAGTCTGTTTACCGGTGTTCTGTGTAATGATAAGAACGTGTTAAAGCTTGTTCTCTGTCCCTGTGGCTCAGGTCTGGTTGGAAATGTTGCACTTGAAAACAATATCAATGAGACGTACCCTGTGCCAGCCATTGCACCAGATTAGGTTTCACTGGCTGCTGAACAAAAGTCTCTGCCTCTGGTTGGCCTGAAGCTGAACTTCTTTGTCGGTTATTACCATCTTAATTGAAAAAAAATACATCCTCAAGGTCAGGGGTGTCAAACTCAAATACACAGTGGGCCAAAATTAAAAAATGGGTACTAGTCGAGGGCCGGACTGGTTCAATGTTTATTGCAAAACTTATTGAAATGAACCTATTGCACATATTAAACCTGGAACTAACAAAGCTTAAATTATTGCCTATAAAAACATAATTAAATTATCAATTGCATTCATTTCTTATGGCTCTATCTGCAGCTTTTCCGGAGTCATTTCTTATGATTACATTTTTCCACAGGCCAACAACAGCTTAAAAAAAACAATTTCCCTCAAAGAAAAAAACAAACATGCCCTGTTGTCGCAAGAAAAAAAGTGCAGAAGGAAACATCCATGTAAACTCAGTTTGCTGCTCCGTGATAGTTCAAGCCAGATACTTGGCATCTCATCTTGGGTGCAAGTTCATCAATGTTTGGGGTCAGGCTCTGAGCTGAGGAAATTCTCAGGATTGAGTGAAGGTGTGCGTGCAATATACCAGCGGGCCAGATCTAATAGTAATTAGAAATTATCCTGCGGGCCGAACTTAAATCCACCAAGGGCCTGATTTGAGTTTGACACATGTGCTCAAGGTAAACAAATAATAATTGTATATCAGCAAAATATTTTTCAAGCATTAAAAAAGGTATACAGTATGAAGGATCAGCCCTTTTTTGGAGTTTAAAGGTCCCCTATCATGCTATTATTAGGCAATAGCATAGGTCTCAGATATATCAAAATATATAAAAAAACATGTCTATGAAGTGTTTTGCTCAAAATACCAAACAGATCACCCGTTCTAGCATGCCTCATATCCCTCTATTTCACTTCCTGTTTCAAAAGTGCTGATTTTATGTATAAAGCTTTTTAAAAAAAAAGAATTGATAAAAAAGAGGGGCGGAGCTTATGCCTGCTCATGCGGGAGATTCTACCGGCAGATAATGCAGTGATGAAACGCCATATCATGGATTATCAAGGATTATTTCTGAAACAGTATGGAGCTCAAAGGCTTTCTCTCTTGCCGGTTATACCACAAGGTGAGTTCCTTTTTATTTCCTGCTTCTTCACACACATGCTCTGTGCAGTACAGGTTAGCTCTGAGTGTTAGCGATGCTAATGTAAACACCGACCATATTACGTCCAAAACAGTCGGGCACTGTTTCTGATAGCAACGTTTCTGATAGTGCTGTGGGTCCGCCACCGATATTACGTCATATTGGCCGCAAATCTGGATGAGCTCCGTTGTACTCCCGTTTTTAGAGATTTGGGAAAAAGAGAGAGGGTTCCCTGACACACATATTTATGTATAAAGGCCCGGACACACCAAACTGACACCAAAGAACTGACACAGACGGACCCCCGACTGTTGTGTCGCCTCGCGTCTCTGCGTCTTGGCCATGTGTCGCACTGGAACACACCGCAAAGACTTCAGCCGACGGCCAAGAAGCACGTACGAACTGCGCATGCGTGAGTGGCAATAACTCTCCTTACCAGCAGGCGGTGGTAGTGTGTATTCGTCATTCAAAAGAGGCAACAACCGGAAGACAGACTGCGTGATAACCGAGAAAAGAAGAACAGACTGCGTGATATAAACAAACAACAAATAGCGTGTGCGTTCCATTTTCACTCGACAGCGAGAAGCTCATGGGGCTTTCCTGAACCTTTGTCGAGAGCTGGAGTTAAATGAAATCTCAGATTTGCCTTCTTAATAGTTTGTTTGGGTCCCTCACTTCCGTTTCACTTCTCATGCACTGATTCGCTAGCTGAACAGCCAATCAGAGTGATTTATTTTGCCGACAGCCTTTGGCCGACTGCTGAATCGGTGGGTTTTCGGCCGAAAAGGCGTCGGCACGGCTGAAAAGACACGACGGTGCGGGACACACCAATCTGAGTAGGGCGTGTCGACACTCATCGTCGGCCTGACGCCCATCGACAGCCAAAATCGGCTTGGTGTGTCCGGGCCTTAAAAGCAGGCGCGTCGCCTGGCCTGGGCATCCGGGGATGTTTTTTCTTTAGCCCCGGACAATTCTCCCTCAATAATATAATACATTAACCGTGCTTTAGCTGAACCTCATCATGACACTAGAGAGGACGGCAGGTTTGTAATTTCCCGTGTTCAGTGAATGCAACAGAGGCAAGACACCAGACCAATCACCAGAGAGTTGCATGGAAATAAACGTGTCTTATTGGCTGACAGGTACCTATCCTGTGACAATGTTTAAACTGTCAGTCGGACTCTGAGTTTTTGAAGATGAACATAAGAACATTTTTTCTTAAAAAAGACGACAATTCTCAAGTGGTGGCTCACAACAACAACCCCAGAGCCACCACTTGCGCCAGGTAAACAAGGTATGTAAATGTCAGTAAACTTCCAAGTTATGCGAACATGTAAGCAAAGCATAAATTACAGTTACGTTGTTGACAATACTTTGAATCGCGCGGGTAAGCTAAACCGTTAGCAAGTAGCTATAGCTAGCCAGAGACATTAAATTAACACTTTGTCATACAATATAAATGTTGTGTTTTTTAGCGTTACCTGGTGATTTCAAAGAAAGCTCTCTGTCAGTGTTCGACATGAAGCTAGAAGCTACCTTACATTACACAGTCACAGGGCAGTGATTTGTAAAATATTCATAAAGAAAAAGAAAATCTGTTTACATTTCTGTTTCATATGGGTGTTGATAGATGTATCCATAGATCTCTTAATGTTGCTCTCAAAGTGCACCAGATTGATGCTTTTAACTTCAATATTTAAAAAAAAATCTTCCCGCGGGAGCATGCTCCCGGACCCCCCTAGAGGAAGTGAGGACCCCCCCCCCGGTTGTAAAAAATAGCACTTTACCCCTGCTTACACCTATATGCCGTGAGCTGATTATCGAGCATTCATTGTAACAGTCGCAGGTGTATGTGCGTGTGGGGAGTGTTGCAGTAGAACATTCCACTGTAGCGCCCGGTACCTTAATTTACCTTAATGAACTGTGGGCTAAGCCCCGAATGTTTCCAGGTCCAGGAAACGCCCCTGCTTAAAAGACATCAAAAAGTGCATTTTGCATGATAGGTCCCCTTTAAATATATTAAAGAATTTTGTTATTTTTGATAGAGCATAGCATGTACATATCTTAACAATTAGTAACTAAAGTAACTCCATTTTAATTACTTCTGTTGGGTACAGTACAAGTACAGTACTTGAGTAAGAATACTACTTGTTCACTCGTCAACTGTCAAGCATACACACAAACCACACCCACAAACACATAAACACAAAGGTTACAAGTTCATTGCATCGACCTGCTGTGCACTTATCTAATCTCGTACACCT